ACTTCTCATTAAAAAAATAACTTGTATTATATAAGTTAATATTGTAATCTGTACTGATAATAATCTGAGAATCTTCTTCAATAAATGATTTCAGTGTATAATCATGATAGAATCTGATCAATCAGTTGTTTATTATCAGTATGCTTCACAACTTCTTCATAATATGATAATAATTATTATTATCTTCTTACTTATAACACATCATCTCTCATAATTTTCTAATATAATATTTCATAATAATATAAGACTCTCTGAGAATCTATAATAATATCTATTAATATCTAAGCTTTCTCTAGAAATATAGTGAACATACAGCATAGTATATTAAATCATAAAAATGATAATTATCACATGTCTTTCTAATACTAGAAATAATACATTTATGCTATGACTCAAATTCAGCTATATAAAGACAGTATATACAGATCTTCTCAGACTTTGTCATATAGTGAGTGTTATAATAAGCTTTGAGAATGATAAACTCAAGCTTATAAGTAGATATTGTTGTTTGACTAAACTGTTTAGTTAGAGATTGATTTATACATCATCTATGATTAAGATTTAACTTACTTTTATTGTATTGAAGAACAGACAGGTGAATGAAGTAGCAGAGATAGCAGCAGAGACAGTGACAGATAATATAACAGAGGAATTTTCACATTGATAAGTAGATTATTACTGATTGAAAGAAAGATGAAGAAAATGAAGTAAGAAACTTATATTTATACTTACAACATAAGTAAATAATATATGAGTAAGTTAATAATGTCTAGATTAGACTGACCGTGTGACCGTGTCTGAGACCAGAATCAGATTTTTTGATAGTCTCATTATCAATTCAACTGATCTCATTACACAGTTTTAACATTAGATAGTAGTCTCATACTGTTTCAGTGAGACTTACTGTCTACTCTTATCACATTTTCCAAATGAGACCATGATTTTCACTTCTCAATTTAAATTATTTTTATTGCTTTAAATGACTTTAAATCTCATTTGAGTGTTATCAAAAAGCATTACTTTTTAAAAAATTAAAAATAGTTTAAAAAAAACCTTAAAATGTCTAAAAATAGTAACTTTATGCCAAGAATGAGACTAAATGAGATTAAATAAGATCACTTTCTTATTTTTTTCAAGTCATGGTTTCATTTTGAGATTTGATATATAGTCACTTTGCATGTTTTTTTAATGACTAGTCCCAGCGGAATTCACATCAAGAAATGTATGAGATCAGATCAAATGAGATCAAACATGAAATTCATAGTTCTAGCAGTCAGTCTAGTCTAGATAAGTATATTTCTATTCACTTCTATAACTCTATAATTCATAATTGATTCAGAAGTTAGCAGAAGTTATTAGAAATTGCAAGAAGTTTATAGAAGATTTATTATAGAAGATATCTAACTACTTAATAGTGTTATTTTCTATAGAGAAGTTGTCTCTTTCTCTGTGAGAAGAAGTTTAAACACAGTTAAAATAAGATATCTTTGTAAATATAATATCTGTGTTTATATTTCATTCATTAAATAATGTTCATTTGCAGAGAATTTGAATATCAATACTATTATTATTACTTTGCTACTTGAATGAAGTGTGAACTTAAGCAGTTGTAGATATATAAACTTGTGAACTTAAAGAAGAATGAACTCAGAGACTTGAAGAAGAAGTGAACTATAAAGTAGTGAAAGCACTGATAATAGATATGACTAGAGTAGTGAAGACTTCAGTAGTAGTAATAACAGCTGAAAGAGCTGTAGAGATCTTAGTGAAGATTTTATTAAGTTACTATACTCTTTTTACTGCATATTAAGCAGTTATTCAGATCAGATTATTGTCTTTCATATATTATACAGCTATAAGCTGCTGAGCTGCTGTTATTTCACTGATTAAATCACTACTTGATATTTTAGTAGATACTGTAATCTCTACTATTCTCTCTCTGTTTCTGATTATCTGATATTGATGTCTTTCTATGAGAATAGCTTCATACACTTTATTTACAGCTGTAATTTAACTTAACAGAAAGCTGTGAAGCTGATCTTTAAATTCATCTTAATAGCTTTAAGTCTGAAGAAGATTAATAACATTATATAATTCATTTTAATTAAATTCAAAGATAGATATCTTCTAATGAAAAAGAGCAGCTATCTGTCACTAATATTAAGTAGATATAAATTGTGAAGCTAATACTGAAAAGTCTTAATCATAATAATACTGTTTCTCTGTATATTTAATACATCAGTTCTTAAGTTCTGACAGTAGAATGATATCATGACTATTATCTTAAGATGTCTTGATAATGTTTATAGTGAATAGCTATTTAAATATAGATATACAGCTTGAATTACATCTGCTGCAGCATTTCTCTACAGAAGTATTCATTCTATTTATATTAAATAGAAGTTAATTCTCTTCAAGATAGATTAGAAAAGCTTTTCAATGATATAAGTTATTAATAATTCTCTTTCAGTTAGTGAAGAGATTAACTTATCTTTATATTTTATTCTCTATTTATATCTTTACAGTGATTATTCTATATTGACTTTAACTCTGATTTATTATATTTAATGAAATACTTTCAGTATCAGATATATTCTTTAAGTTTATAAACTATAATAGCTGACTGATCTGATATTAAGTTCTTTACTAAGATCTTTATTTTACTGATAGTTGAGAAGATTGAACAGCTTTCTTTTCATAATCTTCAGAGTCAAATACTCAGTAGAGAAGAAGAATTAAGATATAGTTTTTTCAATCTGATTCACAATCTTCTTACTTATATTATTATTAAATATTCATAATATCATCTCTCTTAATAGGAAATTCTTATATAATAGTACACTTGATATCTGAAATATTTATACTTATACTCAGTGAGATTATTATTATTATAATTCATATTTTTAATATTAATTGCATGAACTTCTCAAAGCAAATATTCTGATTCACTTCAGATACTTAAGATATGAAATACTGAAAAATATTATTAATAAAAGAGATATTAATATTATTAATATTCTATCTATTATTCTGACAGATCTGAAGAAGTATTAATTAAAAATATTACACTACTTATTAAATCTTGATATAACTATTAATAAAGATAATAATTTTTAAAATATATTAAAATATAATCTTTTTATCTGTATTAATAATCTTATTCAATAAAAAATATAATATATTATAGAATATAAGTTTACTGTGTAGAATTAAATATATACTGATAAAAATATTAAAATAATTAATAAAAGTTTGAATAATCTGAGTCTGTTATAAGTTTATATCAATAGAATGAAATTCAGTCTCTTAAAGAATAATATTCTCAGCTTTACTACTAAGAGTTATAGAATAGTTAAATCAGATAATATTCTTATAAAGAAGTAATCTCAGATATCTCAGTTTGATAAACTGACTATAAAATTGACTTCACTGTATAATAAGATAATACTTATTAATAGCTATAAGCTTAATCTTTTCTTATAAAGTAGAGTCTTGAAGAATATACTGAAATTACTTATAAAGAGCTTACTCTGAACTAAGTAGTATATGTATATACTCACTCTGTTAAATATGTTTAAGTAAGTCTTTTTATCTCTGAAGATTATCAGTACTGATCAGATAAGAATTAACACTGAGAAACTGTACTATATCTCTTATTTACTGATTATCAAGCTTGTTTAGAGAAATCAGTTAAATGATTATCTTTTCTATCAGAATTATATAGAATTGAAGAATAAGACTCTTTTTATAACTAGTTCTGATAATAAATAAAGTATTACTATATTTATATATTATATACTGAAGTATATAAACTTATTCTATATATAACTAAAAAGTATACTTAGAATCTGAATATAGATCTTGAAATATTTATTAAAGATAATATTGAATAATATTTTATTATTTATTAATACTATCTAGTCTGATATAACTTATAATAAGTTATAATATATCTTTAATATTCATTGAAAGTATTTATTTTAATAATGACTTTTAAAGCTGCTATTATAGCTGATTTATATATTTTCTTTAATTCTTCTTAATTATATTTAATATAGTTAATGAGATATTGTTCAACTCAGCTATTAAAAAGAAGTATTATATAATTAATTCAGAAGTTATTAAAAGATTTCAGAAGTTATTAAAAGTTATTATAAGTTAATATACTATATAAGATTACTAAGAGTTTAAAAGTTATCAGAAGTTATTAAAAGTCACTGAAAAATATACTTAATACTTTAACTATAGTTTCTGATAACTGAATAGATATTTTAATAGCAAGATTAGAATATTGAATAACTAGATATAATTATAATTAAAAAATTAGTAAATTATTTCTATATTTAAAATCATAGTAGCAGTTTTTAATATAATATTTTATACTCAGAATATATATATTTTCAGATAAAAATTATATCAATTAATAGAAAATTAAAAAATTAATTCTTTAAGATAATAGAGAAATAATCTATAAATAATATTATATAGTAATTCTATCTTAAATATTATAATTAAAGTAAATTATTCTTATATTACTAATAAATAGAAACTATTTTTTCTCAGATACTCTGTGAAGAGTTTACTGAGAATGTCTCATTTAGGTTTAGTATAAGCCCTGTGAGGCTGTGACAGTTGATTGACTCAGATATTAGCAGGACTTGGCAGAAAGTAGCAGTAGTTCGGATTGAGTTAGCTTGGAGTGGAGTGGCTGAGTTTACTGAGATAATCCGGAGCGAAATGATTAGCTAAGAACTGACTCATTGTGTTCACGTGGCTGTTACCACGGCAACAGCGGTCGACAATCATTTGTTGACGAATCAACAACACCCAGCAAAAAAAAACGGTCGAGAAGATAGTTTTCGACATCCAACAGACAGCTCCTCGCCATTTGACCCCTCTAGTTCAACGAATGCCATACTAACGATCAGGTTCCTCACTTTCCTTGTATTCTTGACCTTGCATGACCGCCCAGTTGCTCCCATTACCGCCCCAAATCCACAATGGCGCCGGGGGATTTGATCGACTTCGACTTAATTGAGGCACAAAAGGAAAATGTTCAATCCCTCCCAGGTGGACGGTCAGCGAGGGCGCTTGCTGCAGTTCTTTCCGGCGGCCCTGGTGGCGGCGCTACGTCGTCACCGGGATTGAACGAGACGAGAACTTTCAACGACGCAATCCGGAGAGAATACGAACTCGAGCTTCAATCTATCGCAGAATCTGACGATCCGCTAGATATATATGACCGCTACGTCAAGTGGACTTTGGATGCATACCCATCAGCACAGGCTACGCCACAGTCTGGCCTTTTACCGCTACTAGAGCGGGCAACAAAGGCATTCTTGCCGTCCGCCCATTATAAGAATGACCCACGATATCTAAGGCTTTGGCTACATTATATTCGACTTTTCTCCGACGCACCACGCGAGACATTTGCATTTATGGCACGACACGGTATTGGAGAGGGACTTGCCTTATTTTACGAAGAGTTTGCTTCCTGGTTAGAAGGCGCTGGGAGGTTTACCCAGGCGAAGGAGGTTTATCAACTAGGGCTACAGCGAGAGGCGCGGCCTACTGAACGATTGCTACGAAAATTCAGTGAATTTCGAGCCCGTCTTGAACAGCAGCCAAGGGCCTCGGACGGACCATCTTCACCTGCCTTGCCCAAAGTGAGGCCAGCGTTGGCAGCGAAAATTGACCCCTTCTCTTCTGCTACGCCGTCTCCTGTTGATCCCCAAGCCCCAGCGCCAACAGTTGCCAGAGGGCCGACAGCAAAGAGATCGGGGAAGCCAAAGATGTCGATTTTCTCTGACGCTGACAGCGCGCAGGATGGTGGAAAACCGCTGGCCGGTAGTGAAACCAAAGGTTGGGAGAGTATCGGGTCACTTCAAGATCGCAGGAAGGAGAATACAGTGGAGGTGAAGCCTTGGGTAGGAGAAACTTTGAAAGCAGGAAAGCGGGTTGGAACAGGACCAAAGATGACGGTGTTTAAGGATAAGGTAAGTCACGTATTTTTTTTTTTTTGAATTCCCCATTACTCAAACGCATATCTGATGTCCCATATTTACGACCACAGGACTAATTTCTGACATGTAAACCTATGACGTTTTTCTTCGGTTTTTTCTGTGTATTTCAGATATTTACATCACCGTCCTTATCAGGACACCCACAAGCAATAATAGTAAACAATATACCGCTTCCTCGCAATGAGAAGGAATCAACCAATCCCAGAACTGGTAAAGTTGAACGAGTGTATGTCAACCTTGAAGCTATATACCCTGACCCCGAAAATCCGCTCGTTGAAATGAGTCTTGAAGAGCTACGAGCATTCAGCCGGGGATGGATGGACAAAGATTGGTCGAAGCAAGAAATAGAGCCGTTGAAGGAGATATCTACCAATGTCCCATACAGAGATCCGCCTACCTACGGGCATGGAGAAGATGGAATGGCTAAGAACATGTCAACACAATTGAAGGACAAGCTTGTAATACATGAACAGTCCCCGCAACCAGGGGACCCCCAAGGTGTGGAAGTTAACCGTGATGGGAAAGGATCGAAATCGAGACGTCTAAAAGTTCGCGAAATTAAAGGGGAGACGCAAACAGGTACGTTTTGTTGTGTTATTCCTTTCATAGTTTAAAATAGTTGTGTTTTCTTAACATATGCGGATGAACTGATCACAAAATACAGTCAAAACCAACCTGGAATCGCCGACTGGCCCCAAACTAAAACGCAGAAATGCGTCAGAACCCACCATGACGTTCCATACTCGAGCTGCCACAGATGAAATATACAGTATTTTCAACCAGCCGCTTAAATCAGAAAGGCAAAGGGATCTTGCAGAGAGCCTTTGTGGGAGCGACTATGAGGACGATGACTACACGAGTGCCGGGGAGAGCACATGTACAGGCAGGATATCCGGAACAACCAGCGAGTTTGGAGAGGACGAGACAACTGGCTTCCGAAAGACAAGACAGGACAGTCATTTCGAGCAGGATGAGACGCATGCTGAAAGTATTGGTGTAGGTGATTGGACAGAATTCACTGCCAGTCGACATGTCCCAAGTCTCTACCCTGAAGGAAGCAATGGACAAGGCCAAGATATAACACAACCACACACTCTAGATGTTGAATCCTTAACAGGCATAACTCATCATGATTCCTCTTTAACGAACCCTGCCATGAACGACATGTCCACTCCAGCAGCCGGAATGTCTCAAACCAAAAGTAGGTTTGTGCCTGTTCCTCCAGAAGATTACAATGCCCCTTTAGGCCCTTACCGCGACGCTACGATAGTGGCCCAGAACAGACTGCCATTTATGACCCCAATTGTGGAAATGACGGAGTCATCACTTGGATCGACAACATTCAAAGGCAAAATGTTTGCGAATACGAAGACTCCCTCGAGAAAAGCGGTGCCCTCAACCCCTATGATCCCAGAGATGGATGACCTGCTCTTGAGTAGCCCATTCCATGAGCTTACCCAGTCGAACGACACCGTCTTTTCGTCCTTGCCTGAGGAGAGTTCTCCGAGCCGCCTCGCGAAAAAGATGAAACGTTCACCAAAGAAGGCCAAGTACCCACACAAATCGCAGCTTATCATCGAAGAATCCCAATGCAATCCGATCGACCCGGAAATTAGAGAGAAGATCCTCAAGAATATCTACCCGTCTCTTCACACATATCCGGGTTACTATGATCATGGAAGCCAAAGAGCAGGCCGCGCTTCCGATATTCGCAAATACATCAAAAGTGTCTCGAAACAGCCTAAGGGTAGCGGAGCCGACCGCCCAGCTCTAACACCGCCGGTTCTCTGTTTTACAGGGGCAAACCGGAGCTACGCTATCAATCAGGAGCTAGGGGAAGGTGGCTTCGCTCCTGTATACCTGGTTGAAAGCGTTGATTCGCCAGACACTCTCACTTCGGATTCTGAGAAAGAAAATGGCACCATAACTGCGAATAATCATCGTCGAATTTCTGCGAGTGTGAGCCCCTTATTTAAGTCTCGACGGGATGCTGAACGACGAGGCTTGGAGGCAATCAAGGTGGAGTCGGAATCACCTTCTGCTTGGGAGTTTTATATGCTCCGAATCGTGCATGCACGCATCGGTTCATCTCCCACCTATAGCCGGGTTACGGACAGCATCATACAAGCACATGAGATGCATATCTTCAAAGACGAGGGGTTATCTTGTGGAAGATTACCAAACCAAGGGACGGGTGATTGACCTTATTAACGCTGTCAAACAATAACTCCCCTGTGCCAACGGAACAAGGGCTCGATGAGATTGTTGTTATGTTTTTCGCTGTGGAATTATTCCGTACCATAGAAGCCCTACATGCCTGCGGTATTCTCCACGGCGATCTGAAAGCGGACAACTGCCTTATCAGATTAGACGAACGTTTCAATTCCCCTGTGTCCCGCCTAACTGACGAGTCCGATTTGGACGCCCAGGCGGGCTATTCCCCGACAGGCGCAGGTGGCTGGAGAAATAAGGGGCTAACCTTGATTGACTTTGGCCGTGGCGTTGACATGCAGGTCTTCCCGAAAAACGTGCAGTTTATTGCTGATTGGAAAATCGGTGCACACGAGTGTTCCGAGATGCGGGAATGCCGGCCCTGGACGTACCAGGTCGATATGTACGGGCTCGCAGGTGTCATTCATATTCTATTGTTCGGCAAGTACATGGAGGTTGCACCTGCTACTTCTAGTCGAGCCTCGGGTGGAGAGAATGGAAGTACTGGCAGCCGCAGGTCAGGAGATGGTGACTTTGGACTAGGCATGTCCGACGCCGGGAGAACGGGTCTCGGAGCCAAAAAGGCATATCGAATCAAGGAGTCTCTGAAGCGATACTGGGAGCGGGAGATCTGGGCTGAGACCTTTGATTTATGTCTAAATCCCCAAGGCGATAAGTGGGTGCAGATGGAGAAAGGGATTCCCTCGCCGCCAAGCTCGGATATCGATGCGGAGGATGGTGGTGGTGGTCACACTGGCCCTACGCTGCCGGTTCTTAATTCGATGAGGTATATTCGGGAGAAGATGGAGGGTTGGCTTGTGGCTAATGCGGAGAGGAAGGGGTTACAGGCCCAGTTAGCGAAGCTGGAGAGGATGATTGCCAAGTAAATGGAGGTCGAAGGTTTCCATGCTTCCAAGGATCTGTCTGGGAGTAAGCTTCTGTACCTGGCTGGCCTAGACGATCTACCGTGCGTGGAACCTTGGAGCCGTCTTTTTTTTAGTTTGGTTTTTTTTTTTTTTTTGGGTCAAACTCCCAGCAACGATGACAGAAGAGCAGCTCGTGGCCGTGCTGTGCTTTGTTTCCTTTGTTCACCAGCCAGCCTGTGATCTGTCTGATCTCGATCCTGTCGTCTCCTCCGGGTTATCGTTTCTCGTGTCCGGACTCGGGCTCCTCCCTCCCGCTTCCTTCAAATCTATAACTCAACCGAAACTCTTATTTGCTTATTTTTACACTCCTACAACCACCCCCAACAACAACAAACAACCACTTCCCCGGGGGTTTTCCCCATCTTCTGTGTGCTACTTGACCACCCTGTGTATGTGCTCTACATGTACACATTGTATAGTACATACTACAAAACTGCTCCCGCGAGAATGAGTTGAGAGGGGGTGGTGGTGGGTAGTGAGTGGCACACGCTGGCATTCCTAGAATACCACACCCCCCCTTTCCTTTTTTTTTTTGGGACAAGAGAGGGAGAGTTTTTTGGGGAAGGACAAAAAAAGAACCCCCCCCCCCCCCCCCCCCCCCTTCTTCTTCATTTTCCTGTCTTCTATTTCCTGTAAATAAATAAATAAATAAATAATAATGAGCATTCCTACATGCAAAAATTTCCAGTTAAATCTGACTGTGTTATTATTCACTATGTTTCTACAGGATCTTATGCCTTCTGTTATTCAGGTACAGTATACATCAATTATGTGAGAAGGGGAAAAATAGGTCTCAAAGCAAAACCAAACACAGCGGAGCACGCATGGTTTACATACAGCATATGTAAGTACATGTACATACATATGTAGAAGCAGGAACAAGATCGAAGACAGAAAGAACGAAGAACAAGAGAAGGAAAAAAAAAAAAAAAAAAAAAAAAAATGGTGAATAGAATAGATAGCTAGCAGCAAGTAAGAGCTCTCAAAAATAGATCAGTTAGTTAGTCAGTCATTTGTTATATAAAAAGTAATAGTTAACTATGTATGTTAAAAAAAATAAAAAAATGAAATGAAATGAAAATTGAAAATTGAAATGAAGATGAAGATGAAACAAAAATATCAAAATAAAAAGAAAAAAGACCTTTATTTCAGAACATCAACAGTGTTTATTTCCTCTCTTGTTTTATTCATCATTCTATTTCTTTCTTTCTTTGTTTTTTTGGCTTTTTTCTTTTTCTTTTTTTTTCTTTTTTTTTTTTTTTCATATTGTTGTTCATATCATTTATGTTGCAGTTGTTCATTCATTCATTCATTTGTTTCATTGGCTTTGTTGCATGAGCCCATTTGGTACATAAATAGTCAAAATAGAAAGTATAAAAAGGAGAAAAGAAAAAAAGAGTGAGAGTCTTGTTGAAGATTGGAGACTTGAAATGTCCCGGATAACCCCCACAAGATAGCCCCAAACGCATCCCATCTCATCCATCCCATCTCATCCATCCCATGATCTTCGTTCTGCCTAAGATGGAGTCGACGTTTTGTTGTGTTTGCTCAGCGCGATATTTATATTTAATTTTCTTTCTTTTTTTTTTTTTCCGTCGACTCCATCCGTCATGTACATCGATCGATCGTCCATGGTTGGGAAAGGTGGCAAGTAGTAGGGCTAAGTCTTGATTTGGGTAGCGGAGGATATAAATCCAAACAGAAGGCAGTTAAGGAAATAAAGTGAAAAGCGTGAAGATAGTGAGTGAGGTGAGGAAGGACAATTACAACGTATTGTTGCTTTGCTGTTCGCGGTGTAGGTTTTGTGTTTCTGTCGGAGGTGGAATTGTTTTCGAATTCAAGCTGTTTCGTCCGTATCTCCCCTTGTGTCCCCTCTTAGTCTTAGGCAAGGTTGTATAAAGAGGTGAGTAATGGGAATCAAGCTTCGCAAATTGTTCGGTACGGTATCGAAGTCGCGTTTCCAGTCGTCCTAGGATCAAATCCTCCTCATATCCGCCCGGAGCAAAAGCGTTGTTCCTACGAGCATCATTGCAGGCGCAGGAATGCAGTCGGGATCTGGTAAGTAGATAGATACGTAGGCAGGCAGACATATTCCAACCGCGAAACATACTAGAAAAAAACCAATTTAAGTCCCCAGATATATCCCAATATGGGCAAAATAGATATATTCAGAACAAATAGAGGCAAAGAGAAAAAAGGAAATAATGTAAAGAAGGTAATGTTAAAGTTTGAAAAGAAAGGAGAAAAGATAGAGAACAAAGATAAGGAAATGTGCATTCACATGATTTTTTTCACAAGTCGTCGCCGGTCATGAAAAAAAATTCATAAAAAGAGATTTATGTCTTTATGTATAGACTCCTTTGTTTTCGTTTTCGTTGTCATTGTCGTTTTCATAGTCGTTGTCGTATTGTCGTCATCGTTTTCGTACAGAAGAGCAGTAAAAAAAAGCATCTTTTTTTTTTTCATAAAACAAAATGTCCACTGAATCGAAGATGAATTTTTCTAGCGCGCATGGGGAGATTCGGAAAAGGAATGGAAAAGGAGGCGCTATGAGAACGGCGTGTTAGGCGTATCAAGTTTCACTACCTCGCCATCCGCTACACCAGCACCCACGCCTTCCTTCCCTTCCTTGTCTGTGTCGTAGTACGCGCGGGGAGTGGTCATAGTGCTCTCACTGGGCGGTTCCTGATAATTCGACATCGACATGGGATGGTAACGTTCTCGTTCCCTGGCGGTAGCAGAGAGCATGTTGGCGAAGGAAGTTGAGATAAATGGATCGGAGAGCGAGGGTGCATGACGGGGGGAGTGGGATGGCATATGACGTCTTTTGTTAAAGTACTTGGTGAAAGGGTCAGAGTGGAACGGGGAGCCGAGACGCTTAATATCATCGCCCAGTCGCAAATGGTGGTCAATAGTACTAATATTATGATTAATATTATTATCCTGTTTCTGTGCTTCTTGTCTGTCACTGGCGCCTTCTCTAGCACCAGTCGTAACCGTTGTCGCCGCAGCCGTATCCGTAGCAGTATAAATCGAAGTAGAAGAAGTCCCAGAAAACGCCGAAAATGGAGCTGGAGGGTTGAAAAGCTGATCCAATCGTCCTCTTGAACCACCAATTGCGCCCGTCGTGACACCTCTGTTCCGCACGCGAATGCGCCTCTGGCCAATAATATCATTGTATCTAGGTTGCCGGATGAGATCTGGGAAGGGACGTTGGAGACTGCCACCGCTCGAGTCCAACTCGTCTTCCAACTGGTGCAGGGCTCGCCGCTTGTGAGCGTTCCCGAGCGGGTCAATGCGGGCGCCCGGCGATCGGGTTTTTAAGCTGGCTGTGTGGATTGTCTCGCACTGGCTGGCTGGTGTGACGGAACGGAGACGGCGACGGGAGCTGCCAGGACCCCAGGTATGGTACATAAATGGAGATCCGAGGCGAGGGATTGGGTTGGAAAGGGCGCGGGTTGTTTTGCTGTGGTAGTAGTGGTCGAGCGATGATGATGGGTCACTGTGGCGATTTTGAGAGCTCAGGGGTGGTAGTTCGTGTTCACCTGAAATGTTATTAAACCAATCATTTTCTGAGCTGTTACCGACCAGATCGTTCACTGGAGGTCCCAATTCCGCGACCTGAGTTGGCAGAGAGCTGGACACCAACGATACTCCAAGATCTCGAGTCGCGAAAGAGGCAGCTCTTCTATGAGATACCCCTATGTAAGGAGTCCTAGCAGTCGATCTGGAACGTTTCCATGAAAGGAGACGGACTACGAGATTGAAGCAGTCGTTGATAATGGGGCGCGATTGAAAATTTCCGTTTGCAGAGCTCCTTTAAGCGTCTTCTAGTAGAGGAGTCCGACCTAGGCCAGGTTGGCTTGGGAGCTGCGGTACTGGCAGTTGGCGTCGTACTTCCACTTCGTATCGCAGAATCGTCGGTTGCTCGTTGTTTATTTCCATCCCCACAAACGTCTTCCGCATGTATAACAGGAACAGAGGCTGAGGTTACGGTTGAAGGGCCACCATTCTTCTGTCTATTTTTTGACCTGAACCAAGCTTTCCTGGCTTCACGAGCAACACGATGGGAGACTCCCAAAGGCGGCACGCTCCCCGGAACCATTTTGAACGGGGTGATTCTGGGGTCTTGCAGATATATCTGATACGAATTCCACAGATGGTTGTCCATCTCAGCAGTCCATTTCGGTCCAGTTGTTGCTATTCTGCCAGGTTTCTCCTGCACATTACTTGGCTTGGAAGGAGTCTCTGGTTCTTGTTTGGCGTCACTAGTGATGGGATACGAGAGGAAAGGGTCCTGGATTTCGCTTTCAGGGCTCGTACAGCTTTCCCCCATAGACGGGTGCGAGATATAGGATGTCGACGACGCAGCAGAAGAATCCGAGAAATTGGAACAAGCAGATGATGGTCGTTGTATGGGATCAGCATCGCCATAAGTCCAGCAAGGCCTTTCGTCAACGGGGGTACCCCTGATTTGAGCTGGAGGCGTTCTGGGATCGACCCTACCTCTAGGGGGGACTTGTAGCGCATTATCAGTTATAAGTTGAGGGGCAGCCATGTCGAAAATGTCCGCTACAGAGGCCGAAGCATCGTGAGATAGCTCGATTGACGGCAACGGAATATCTGGTGAGCAGAAAAGTTCGCGCTGGTTTTCCATGGTGAGTCGAGGTCTGCGGAAACGGCAGGAAGAATGGTGAGAAGGTGGCGGCGGCATGGTCAGCTCCTTGGTATGTTGCTCTGGAGTCCTTGGTCGTGCTTGCTCATTGCCAGTGTAAAACGTGAAGTCCTTAGGTAGGGTTCGGGACAACCCTGGCTGTCTGTAGGGCATGGTTTGTAGCTTTTTTGAATTTTTTTTTTAAAATCTTGTTTATCTATTTAGGTTTTTTTCCCCCAGGACGATGGACGTCTAAACAAACCGTGAATGTATCGGTAATCGATTGCTGAATGGATAGACAGAATAAAAAAGATTCTTATTCAACGAAAGTAGTAGTGAATATGGTCGCCCAAAAGTTCAAATCGTAGTCGCGTTATTTCGTGGTTCTCGTTTTTTCAATCCATGCACATCTCAAAATAGCAAAAGATACGATTAATATAAAGATGCTGAAGTGCGGTCGTCGATAAAGGTGTGGGGGTCGAGAAGTCGCAAGGCTTCAATTCAATTGTACATGTACATTGCTCAGCACAAGTTAAAAAAAAGGGGAAGAAAAATATCCAGGTGGGCTTCCCGGGTTCGAAATACGGCCAAAGACGGAACGGTAATGGCAATGGCAATGGCAATGGATTATGGTTGAACAAAAGAAAAAGAAACGTCTGGTCGTGTTAATTAATAAGAAATATCGATTCTGCAGTGTCGCCAATCTGGGGAGTCGTGGATATCGTAATAATAAGGGGCCCCTCAAGCTGGGAGATAAGGATCAAGACAGGGTTTTATTCCAGAGGGCTGACTGGTTCAGGTCATTCGAAACGGGGACTTTGTGTGTGTTATTACGGGACGAAAAGGCGGCCAGGTCGGGACCCGGATGTGTTGTGTTGATTAGGAGTAGTAGTAGTTGGAGAGCATCGTGGATGGCGGCGACAAAGCGAGAAAACCCCAAAAAGGTTCGTTAGGACGAAAAGAAGAGTATCGCGAAGAGTGTTCCTGATATATGGGAAGCGCTGGAGGTTTATTGACAGTTCCAAAAAGGAGCGCTTGATTTTCTTTTCTTCTTTTTTTTCCAAAGCGAATCGGTGGCTCCAATATCGCAGCGCTTGGACCTAACCACCACCAGCAGCAGCAGCAGCAGCGGGCCTGTTTAAGTCAGGCCGGGTCAATTGGCAAAGTGACGGCCAAAAATTAGATTGTCCAGGCCGCAAGGGAATAGTAATGAGTAGAAGCCAACCTTGCGCAAGATGGCGATATGCGATCAAGAGGGAGGAGAAGAGAGGAGTCGAGCAATGGCGGGTAAAAGAGCCGGGGGGGGGGGGGGGTGGGGTGGAACCGGTTAAAAGAATGGAAGAAGAAAAGATCCTTTTTTCACGGCCTGGCCGGGCGAGTCCCCCTTGGGATGGGGAGGGGGCTCCGGGATTCCGCGGGAGAAAAAAAAAAAAAGGGAGGGAGGGAAAAAAAAAGGGAGGGAGGGAGAAAAAGGAGAGGGTAGTATAAAGGTGTATATCCAACAACTTTTTCATTGAGGAAAAAGGCCGGGGGGACTCCAGAAGTTTCAACTTTGATTTTTTTTACTCCATGATCAATTTATGTGACATGATTTCTCGATTAGGCCTTTGCGCGGGAAAGGGCCGAAAGAAGGTTTTTAGAGGCCCCTTTTTTGGAGGGCCCCTAATCTGCCCCAAGGGTAGGAAAGAAAGCGTAGTTGGTATTGTATGCCCAATGTGAATAGTATTAGAATGTGGCTAGGGGGGGGGGGGGGGTCACTTTGCGATAGACAGCGCGAGGGGGAAACCAAAAACGGAGCCAAAACAGGATCTTTGAGGTGTGAAGGAAGAAAAAGAAGAAGGAGAAGAAGGAGAAGAAGAAAGCTCAGGGAGAAGAAAAAGGGGGCGTTGTTGCAGCAGTTGGCAGCTTGGGATGGGATGGGATGGGATGGGAATAGCAGAACAGAACATGTGATGGGATGGGTGATGGTGGTGACAAGCAATGGGGAGGTTAATGGGAGAGGTAAATGGGAGGTATTGGAAGTAATATGGAGGTAATTGGAGGTAATTGGAGGTAATGGAGGTAATGGGAGGTAATTGGGGGTATTCGGGGGGTAATGAGGGTATTGAAGTGAGGAATCAATCTCAGCGACTGGGCCGGGGACTGTGTGGGATTTTGCCCGCCTCGTCCCCTGGGAGCGAGTTCTTGGGCTCTCCTGGGCTCTCCTGGGCTCTCTTGGATTTGGATGCGATGCGGATGATGCGCAAGACCCGAGACTCGGGAACAGGTAAAGTAACCTAGTTATATACACTCTACGGAGTAACACACGTCTGCCATGCATACGGCGAACTCTGTATTATTGAATATCTGGGAATTGGGTTTACAAAAGTGTCTATTATTATTATTATTATTATTATTATTATTATTATTATTATTATTATTATTATTATTATTATTATTATTATTATTATTATTATTATTATTATTATTATTATTATTGAATTGAGCAGGTATTCTTTATGCCCAACAAATGTCGAGCTCATCATTCTCTTCCCCCGCTAACTACCCAAACTCTCCTCCTTCATTCCCTGCATCCCCATATCAAGCAAGTCATTTGACTCCTTCTAGACCTAGGCCTTCCTACTCGCAACAACAACAACAGGTAATATGGAAGCTAGCTCGGCATGCTTTGATTGATTACGGAGTACGGGAGTACTTTGTCTGTGAACTACCTCCAGTCTCTCTATGTTCCGCGTTCCTTACCATATATGTTATACCGTAGATGCAAGCCGCATCGCTAAACTCCTCAAGCCCCATAACGAAGTGCATACATACTATACATACACACATACATACATACATACATACATACATACATACCAGCCAACAAACGGTGCGAAAGCTTAACGGAGTACTGTACTCTGCTTAGACACAATTGCTGCAGGTGCCGAAAGCCCCATTATTCCCATTGTGCTGAACCAACCAAGAAGCCGAAGCCCGGGGGGGAGCAACCAACACAAATCCATCACCACGGGTGAGAGTAGAAATATCAAAAATAAAATACATCATTTAATTAACTACCCCATCATCATAACCCGTGAAATAGCCATCGGAGACCTAAATATAGGCCAGATGTCCTCTCTCCTCTCCTCCCTCCTTCCTCCTTCCATCAACCCCGTAGGTCGGGCTTTAGTTTGCAGCCGTAGTTCGCAGGGCGCTAAAATCGGGGCTGGATGGGATCCACTCTCGCCCGCCCTTGCTTGCGAACGCGAAAAACGACGCGGCCATTGTAGGTAGCTAACTACTGTAGCTATTGATGATTGGCTGGTTAGCGCGATCCGACGCGCGAAAAATGCGCGTCGGGTATTTCTGGCGCGCGTTCGTGGTTATATTATTACGTGTATGATTACACGGTACTGTGTATGTACTGTACGGAGTAGGTATGGTATCATTTGTGGTATGTTCCCCTCTCTCCCCCCCCACAGTTCTTGTGAGGCGATGAGGGAGAGGGAGAGAGAGAGTGTGTGTTTTATGTTTCATGTTTCAGGTGAGTGGAATAATTGAAGCTGGGTAAGAAGTTGGAGTGAGTGAGAGGGATTGATTGATGTGAGTGATGATGTGATGATGTGAGAAAAAGATACTCCGTAACTAGTTACAGTACAATAACTAATTTGGATTCTATCTCTCTTGGATATTCGAAAGAGAACTTTTAATGTCTCTAGTAAGATAGTTATAGTTATATAGAGCTAGCAAGAAATGCATATGCAGGTGCAGACATATCAGCGTATAAAAAAATAAAATATAAAAAAAAAAAATGAAAAACAGCTCATTCCCTCCAGCATTATTTCCTCGGCTCCATAACTACCTCCAACCACCTATCTAAACTCTCAACACGCCCAACGCCCTGCTGCACAGCAACAACACATATCCTGTCTTACAGTACGCATGTATGTACATGACATTGTACATGTACAGAGCTCTGAGAGAGGGCAACTTCCAAGATCATCAAGGCTGTGTTGGCAAGCGAGACTTTTCCGCAACGTTTTCCCGTTGCCATGTTTTGAACCTGTGCCATGCCTACGCTGTGCTGTGCTGTGCTGTGCTGGTCTTTGAAAACACTCGAAACACGTAGCTGAGCTGAGCTGGGCTAGCTAGCTACCTAATTATTTACCTGGATAGATATACCCTACCTACCTGGTTACGTTTTGCAGGCCCAGCTTGGTTTCGCATAGGCACTGTACAAGTACTTCGATCTATATGCTGTACCAGCGTATGGTTGGTGAGCAAGCCGTTTTTTGTATGAAATAAAACGAAAAAAAAAAAAGAATGTGAAACGAATAGTTAGTTAGTTATCCACAACAGCTGAAACACGCGCGTGCCAGGGAGTTTTTCCTTTGGTAGAAGGGGGAAAGTTAATGACGTTGTTTGACAACTGTGGAACTAACTATTCGGGTCGTCTCATGTTCTTTTCTGAAACTTGGATCTGGTTTGCAGGTTCACACAAGTTTGAAAGTTGAGAGAGAGAAGAAAGTGTGTCTGTGTGTGTTAAGAGGGCTTGAAAACTTGGCTGACTGACTAGTTTGTAACTAAGTTATAACTAAATATCTGTTTGAGAAGAGAGCCAGCTACAAAGGTGTAACTAACTACTTGGTTATCTCAGTGGTTCTGTGGATGTGTCTCTCTGGTAGCATCCAGGAGTATAATAAATAAATAACACGACTAAACAAAAATTGAAAATAGGGACAGCAATCAATCTTGTTCTTCTTTTTCTTCTTCTTCTTCTTTTCTTCCCCCCTTCACATTTCTGTAAAGATATCCGCACTGGTATTTGCCGCACGTTTTTAACAATGTAAACACGCCCGTTAGCTATATGCATAAACCTCCGCAAGACAACGAAGAGGGAAAAGAAACAAGACTACGCAGTAGGTCTTGTTTTCCGGCCGCTTGGAACAAAACCTGCCAGCCAAGCGTTCAACCTGTTCGCCAGCATCAATGTTGTGGCCGTTTCCGTTTGCCGTCCCCGTCCCCGCCGCTGTTGCTGCTGCTGCCGTCCTATGTCCTTGTCCTTGTCCTTGTCCTTGTCCTTGTCCTTGTTGGTTGGTAGTGAGTTAGAGGGCTAGAAGATCAGCGTCAAGCTTCCTTCCGGGAATGCATGAAGGGGGGAGGGGGAGGGATTTTTATCGCCTGGACACCAAGAAGTAGGTGCACCACCAAGGGGAATCCATCCTGTGTAGTTTATCTTCCTCACATTCGTTCGTGAAATCAATATCCCGGCTCTTCCCCCGCTCTAACCGCGGCCAATCGGACCCGTTCCTCTAGAGAAATGAGAATGACTCTTGGTCGGCTCCAATAGCACAAACGGATGAATCAATCCTCAATCCGTTAGAGCCGACAGAACAGAGAGGGACATCTGGAGCTGTGGGCAGAGAGGAAGAAAAATGACTCTTGACAAACAAGGATTTTTATTTTTATTTGTATTTGTATTTTTATTTTTATTTTTTTTGCACAATAAGTTACCCGTAAGAATGCCTTTCGCTTCAACTTGCTTGCCTTTTTGTTTTTTATTATTAATTAATGAACTTGGCTGGCGCCAAAGTCTGGGATAGCATTTTTATTGACGGGGTCCGAGAGATAAACTAGCTGGCCTAGTTAAGTTACCCCGCCATCCACTGGCTGAATGCGCTGAATGAGAACGAGATCTGAGCGTTGTTATTTGACTCTCTCCAATCATATCGGAAAACGACCAAACGGCTGGGTTCAACCGGCAGCGAGGGTGTTGCGAAGAGTCCCTCAGCGGAATATCTGTCTCTTTCTTTTGAGACATACTATTCTCCTCGGTTTTTATCGCGTTGTGGGGGCAAATAAAGTAGTAGGACCCCGTCGGATATCAGAGGGTGTTATTTTCTCCACACATCTATCTCTAATACCGGCATGGACAGGGGCGGCTGTTTAAATATCTGGGTTGGTCTAGACGGTTGGAAGCTTGTAGAGATAGTTACACCACCCCTAGCTAGCTTGCACTGAGTGAGTTGTTGTTCTTTTTGCTGTTGAACATGAAAATGCGGGGAAGAAGTTGGCGTCCGCTTAGATAAGATAAGATAGTTAACTAACTAGTTAACTAGTTAACTAGTTATGTTAGTTAAAGGCGCCAACTCACAACTAAAAGTTACAATCGATATAAAGCTGCCTCAACTCCAACCTCTAGAGAGAGAGCTGCCTGCCATCGCTATTCACTTCGTACCATCTCCATCTCTCGCACAGGAGCCTGACTGCTGCATCCTGGTATCAATCGCTTTTTGTTTCCACAGCCTACCGACATCCACAGCCAGCATGGGTGATTTTGGCCCCTCGGTGTCCGACGAGCGAGAACAGCTCCGCGATAGCCTCGTTGTGATCAAGGAGTCCGTTCAGGACATCCATGTGCTAGTTACTGGCTTTGGTGTATGTGGAAGTTTATCAAACTTATCCAATCCTATCACATCTCCTTCCTGGACCCCTCTCCATCCCAATGCCGTACCAGTCTGGGCAAGTAGTGGATGGATAAGACAGACTTACACACCAATAAAGAGCACCCAGCTAACCAACAACCAACACCTATCAACTTAACAGCCCTTCAAATCTAACCCTCTAAACCCCTCCTATCTAATCACCTCCGCCCTTCCAAAAATAATCACTCTCCCACAAACCACCCCCACCTCCCCTCCGCGCCGTATCCTCATCCACACTCACCCCGCCCCAATCCGTGTCTCCTACTCCGCCGTCCGTTCCGCCATCCCCGCCATAATAGATGCCTTCAAGAACGACCATGACGGCCGCCCACCGGACTTCGTCATCCACATCGGTATGGCGTCCACGCGGGACTATTACGCCGTGGAAACCCTGGCCCGCCGCGACGGGTACAACTACACAGACGTAGAGGGGCGCCTGGGCTTCGAGGATGGTGAGGCTGTCTGGAAAGCGGCGGGTTTGCCGGAGGTGCTTAGGCCGGGTCCACGCACTATGCCTGGTGATGCTGATGGTGATGATGAGGAGACCAGGGGCGGCGAGGCGGTGGGTGAGGGTGATGGAAGTGCTGCTACGCAGAGAAAGTCGTCTACCACGGTCTACACCACCAGGGGGATATCAGCTACTGTCGTTACTGACACTACCATCACAATACCCGCCGCCAACGCCAACGCCAACGCCATGACAACCACAACCACCACGACAACGACGACAACGACTTCCCCCCCTCCATCATCATCATCATCATCACCGTCACCAGCACCAGACCAGCCCACCAAACAACCACAAACCGAAGCCCCAGCAGCCACAACCCCCCCCCTTAGCACAATCACAACAACCATAACCACCACCGCCTCCCACACGCCCACCTCCCCCTCCCCGCCAGACGCCCGCTTCCTCAACGCCTGGAAATCCTTCGCCCCGCGCGGAGCTGACGTGCGCCTCTCCGACGATGCCGGCCGCTATCTATGCGAGTTCATCTACTATACCAGCCTGGCGCATGCGTACAAGGAACGGCGCAATCGGAGCGTCGTGTTCCTGCATGTGCCTGGACGGACGGACGAGGAGGGCATCCATCTAGGGAGGGACGTTGCGGTGGGGCTGGTGAGGTGTTTGGTGGCTTGCTGGGTTGTTTGAATGAAGGTTTTAGAGAAAAAAAAAAGAAGGGGAAGGGGGGGGGGGGGGGGTATTGAAGTGAAATTGGGGGGATTGGGGGGGTTGGAAAGGGGGATTGAGTCAAATAAACTATTCTCCCGCCCTGTCGTGTCATGTCGTGTCGTGTCGTGTCGTGTCGTGTCGTTTCTTCGCTTGTACTGTACGTATGGGGCCACTTCTTAATGTGATGATGTGATGATGATAATAGCTTCTTTTTAAGATATCTCTAGCATAGCACTCTTGCCTGGTTAGCTAATTTTGAAGATACAATAATTGTACATACATCCTGTACTCCGTACGGAGCTTCAAACAACTAAGTTTGACGATTTCTATAACGATGACGTAGTGAATGAATGGGGTATGAATGAAAACACCGGTGACACGTTTTTAGTAGCTTTAAATCAATTGAAGTACTCCGTATAACCATTGAGAGGAGATGCGTAAAATTGAAAAGAGCGAGATGGCTGTATAATAGCAGAAAGCAGCTTCAAGAGGAACAGAGAACGAACTGCTAAAAAAAATCATATGAGAATGAATTACGAAAGCCCGGTTTTAATTAGTATATATGGAGTATATTCCTCCTTGTACTGTACACTGTATCTCATATTAACAGATACAAAGTATTCAACTGGGGTATATAGCTGTAAATAACAACAAGTCAACAAAGATTTGCAAATATGAATAAAAAAAAAAATAAAAAAAAAAGGACTGCGGGTGAAACCACAGCCTCCCAAGCCAAAAATCGATAAGGAGCAACAATCCCTCATCATGGAGTGAGCAAAGATTTTGTTCGCAGTAAGTAAATCACTGAAGTCCCCCCAGGGACGGCACACACACGTCATGGCCCATCAACAGTTGTCTGAACAGCCAGGGTCAAAGATGCAAAAGCTCATGTAGAAAGTTAGATATATAACTAATGACTCCATCTATACAACTTCATCCACACTCGACCTGATCACCACCCCTCCCTCTCCAACTGCCTCCGCACATACGTGCACCAAAATAAGCGCAACGGGCGGCATTCCGCATCGTTGAGGAGTGAAAAGGGTCGATTGATATTTATATGCCGGAATTGCCGCTCAAGAGTATAGCATACCACGCCATTTCGACTCTATCAAAATGGCCATATTATTTGACAGAGCTATCCTCTCCCCTCCCCTAGAGCTTACCGGCAGGCGAACAATGTTCGACAGTCTGCAAAAAAGCGCCCGTGGGGTGATCCCAGACTTTAATAATGACCCTGTCTGCAGATGCAGAGAGGATCAGTTTGCCGGCATGTGAAAAGGACACTGCCCATCTCCATTGGAATGCTCCTTGAGGGAGATGCAGAGCTTCCCCCCTGTGCGGTAGTCCCAGGGCCGAATAGTCCGATCTACAGATCCAGACGCAACTGACATATTATCCAGCGAGGACGTAACCGCCCTGACGCGGCCAAGATGTCACCTTTAGTGTCTGCAATAGCTCTTCCGTGGCGGAGCGCCACAGTTTAACCGTCCTATCCTCGGATGTAGATACTGCCATTTTGCCGTCTGGCGAGAAGACGGCGGCTCTAACTCGGTCCAAATGGCCTCTTCTGTCTCTCGATCCCAGAGAATAATTGTCTGTCCTCAGAAGAAGCAGATATGACTGTTTTTCCGTCTGGAGAGAAGCCCACCGCCCGCCCACACTGCACCAGAGTGGCCGTTGAAGGTTCGTAGGAGGGCGCCTGTGTTTTGAAATCCTTGGAGGCAGCTCTCCCCGTGAAGTACGGGTCTGACGCCCAGGAAATGCCCGGCGCAAAAGCCCCCCTGAATCAAGCTGAGGCCCAGTTAGCCCCTTGGGCGATCGTTACGAGCGGAACGACTGGTCTTGTAACTGGCTGGCTCAAAGTGTTGGGTCTCCCCAAACCGAAGCACATGGTTCTTGCGGAGGATGCCCTTATGGGACGCCAGTCGTTGGGACTTGAAGCAAAAGACACAAAGACGTGCTTTGTCTTCGAGGATACCCCTGCTGGTATCACAGCTGGGAAGGCGGCAGACTAGCCTGCAAGGTTATGGGCGTGGTTTCTAGCACATACTGCCGAGCAGATCAGACTGCCAGGGTCGGATTGGATAGTGAAAGACTTGAACAGCGTGGTTGTTGTTGGAATGGAGAGGGTGATAAGGTCGTTCTTGAGTTCAGAAACGATCTGGTCGAGAATGAATTAGCCAATTAACTAGAACTACGCACATTCCATGTTTGTGCCTAGAACTTAACTGTAAATTAGGGGCTCTTTAGCACCAGGATGTCATCTAGTACATGTAGTATTCTCCAAGGAGAGGAAAATGTCGAGCCCTTTTTTTTTCGTTTTTTGCTTTTTGCAAACTTTATCATGCATTCTGGGAAAACTGTAGGGCGTAGAACTCGGACGACTTCATATCCGGACGGAGCAACGCCTCGTACATCCGGCCGGGGGAGTTTACTATGAGTAGGTACCGCACTTAGTTGAAGCCAACAACGCATTCATATCAAAAATGACGCAGACAACACGTCTCGGAGACTTGCCCCTCACAATTGGATGTGCAGCGGGCACACAGCCCCTACCAACTTGGATGCAATCTGTCCGCCTATGCCAACTATTATAAAAATGGAAGTGCAGGTCCCAACTTTCCCTCTTCTTCTCCTCAGGCCCCCCATTCAACATCGCCCATTTAACAGCTTATCCCGCTTCAAACCCTACCTTAACGAAAGGAAAAAAGAGTATCCCCATATTAAAGATGTCCTCAAACGCCCATACCAACACCGTCTATGCCATCACCGGCGCCAATAGGGGCATCGGCCTGGGGCTTGTGAAGACCTATCTCTCCCGCCCTAACACCACAGTCATAGGCATGGTACGCAACAGCGCTGGCGCCAGCATGCTTCGTGAAGCTACCTCTACTACTGTAGAAACCAGAGGCGCGAACAGCATCCTCTATACGGTCGAGCTCGACTTCTCCGACCCAACCATCACAGATTCGCCCGACAAAATTCGCGAGCTAGTTCTTGCCGGTACAGAGAACGTACCGCACATCAACACCCTCATCCTCGCCGCTGCCATGAAAACGCCCATGGTGCCCACGCTCTCCATCACCGCCGCGGATCTGCGCACGTGCTTCCAGACCAACACAATCGCGCCGCTGATGGTGTTTCAGGCCCTGTGGCCGCTTCTAAGGGCGGCAGAGGGCCCGAAAAAGTTCATCATGATTTCATCCTCTGTAGCTTCGATCGGGACCATGGAGTCGCTCGTCGGCTCCGCGTATGCTATGAGCAAGGTGGCCATGAATTGGGCTACGAAGAGCTTGCATGAGCAGATTGTTGGCAAGGAGGGAGACGGTGAGGGGCTAGTGAGTGTTGTGGTTCATCCGGGCTGGGTGTCGACGGACATGGGAGTTGAGGCTGCGGGTGAGTGGGGGGTGAATTATAAGGAGATGGTGGAGGCTGGGATTATGGTTAATCTGGACAAGTCGATCCAGGGGCTTGTAAAAGTTGTGGATGGGGCGACGAGGAAGAACGATGGAGGGAAGTTCATTACGGGGATTACAGGGTCTAGGATGGAGCTGGCATGGTGATGCCGAGAGGTGCGAGGGATGGAAGGGGCAAATATATAAATATGACACGATATGACGGGGGAGAGCACGAATAGGGAAAGTTGTCTTTCTTTTTACTGGTGTTATGGGAGGTGGAGGGAAAACAACATGTTTTGTTGCTCAGGTTCGATATTGAACATAGGGCAGAAAGGCTCATTTGCCGTAAACGTACATGTAGATATCAGGCATATGAGATTGTACTCCGTATAGTGGAGTAGACCTGGCTGCTCTCTACAAAAAGCGATGTTTCCGAGCGTAAGAATTAGGGACCTGTTCGGTGCGTGGTTGCTGTAGTCGTTCCTTAATTCCTTTTATACGGAAGTGGGTTCGTGAGTTAGGGCTAATAAAAGTGACTATCTATCTCGATACGATACTCTGATTAATAACTATACGACGGATATTCGCCTTCGCCGGGTCCGGATGACATCAACAAGTCTCTGTGGCGCAATTGGTTAGCGCGTTCGACTGTTAATCGAGAGGTTGGAAGTTCGAGCCTTCCCAGGGACGAGTCTTTTCGTAGTTTTTTTTTTTTTTTTTTTTTTTTTTATTTTTTTCTTCTCTAGAACTGGCTCAAGGTCTCAGCTGAGCAGGAGTGGATTTTCTATCTTCAATTGTGGAAATATACCATATACATCAACATCAGTAGTCAGTTCTGACCAGGGCAATGGCTGGGACCAAATTCGTGTTTCGTGAACGAATACTTCCTTTGTCAAATACCCTTGAAAACTCGCACGTTGTTTGTTCTACAAACCCCTCGTCCTTTGTTATCCTCATATCAAACCCTCTCCCTTCTAGGAACCGGAGTAAATAAAAAAGCACTTAGACAGTTTAGGTACTGACTCCGAGCTGTGCTGTTGTTGCCACCCAAATCCACTGCCACAATCCCCTACTTGCAGACGGATTCCACGCACTCTAGCAGCTCAGCCGCAGCTCCTTTTTGTCCCAGCCAAGAGAGCATTTCAGCTACTGTCCAAAAAGTAGCTATGGGATTGGCTATTTATGTTGTGAAATGAATATATTTCTTCCTGTCAGCCGGTATAGAATAACATCACATTGGGGGAAGTAACCAAAAATGGACATACCAAGATCCTTTCCGGCTATATCGAAAGCGGACCCATGAACCGGCTCGAACATGGATGGGTTCTCGCGCGTGGGATCAAGGTTACTCGTGGGAGCGATGCCAATTGATCCTGCAAGAGCTGATGCAAGATCGGACAGGATACCGGCGTGCTAGGGGGCGTGGGGGGTAGAGGATTAGGCATGTCAAACTTCACATCAAATAATGAAAAACCACGCACCCAGCTCGGGACCCTACGAGTCCATCTCTTCCCGCTTAAAAGAAAGGGGAAGGTAAACCGACATACCAAATTGGTCGGAACAATGGTATCCAAACTCTCAGGAGTCAGCACCACTCTCGCCGTCATGGCGTCCACCAGCATCTTATCACACGTCACATCGGGAAATTGCGCTGCGACCTCCGCCGCCGCAATTTCATCCCACACCACCAACCCATTTCTCTGCGCGTTGCTCTTCGTGGCGACAGTGATGTGCTTCTTCGCCCGACTCCGCGCAGCCTCAAATGCAAATTTCATGATCCGTTCCACGCCATGGCGGGTAAAGATGGATATATCCGTGGCTACCTCCCACGGCTTGCCGGCGTAGCTGCGCCCACCGTGACCCGCATACTCCCCTTCAGAGTTCTCACGGACGATCACCCAGTCGAGATGGAGCGGCGATTGGATGCCGTGAAAGACCCTGGTTGGCATATTGCTAGTCGAAGACCTTAGAGGGAGATATGATCTGGTACGTCTGGAGTGTTCACAAACGAGAACCAGAGGAAGGTAGAAGATGAAATGGGAGAGATATCTGCCGTGTTTCTTGTAATACGCACTGCTCCACTCAAAGTTCTCGAAGGCCAGTTCAAAAGTATCCAAGCCACGCGGTTAGTTTCTTCAGCACTTTGATAGTTACCAGCTTCTATCACCTCAGGCCCAATGCCGTCCCCACGTATAGCTGCTATTTTGTAACACGGGAGCGCGGCGCCATCATTCGCTGGTTTTGAGGAAGACATGGTTTCTCATTTTTTTGCCTCTCTTCTTCTCCTCTGTTTATTCGGTGATAGGTAGATGGTTATAATCACCAGCTTGTACACCTTGCCGGGGACCAATGCTGCAGAGAACAACGCGGCAGTCGGACATCCAGGAGGATAAGGAAAAAAATGCTTCGGGTGTATTTAGGATGCGTCTATTCCATCTTCATAGCGATCGATCCCGGCTGTATCAAGCAGGGAAGCCCCCGGTTGAATAGCCGAGAGCGGAGATTTGCTGCCAACCGCATCCATCATTCTCAGGATTTCACATATCTGAAAGTTACTCTGTAAGCTGCCGGTCCACTGACCGAAACGAAACATCTTTATATATATCTGGTCCACTATACTATATTGTGTGAAAAAGCGACTTTGGCTATGACGAAGAGTAGAACATTACTCTCAGACATCTAGTCATTTAACTATTCACAGCTGATCTTATATAGATATTTAAAAAGGCCGAGACCAGGAGGAGAGCGCCTTGTCTCTCCCCATCTTCCACTAAATAATAAAGCTTGAACAACTATCCACCTAAACCAACCTGTCCTGCTGAGAACTTACCTGGCCCATCCACCACCCATGAAAATATCATTTCAGTCCCCCCTCCCCCTGTGCTACCCCATATTCCCTCTTTAACACAGAAAATCCACCGTTGAAATCAGCACTCAAGCCATCACATGATCGCAATGGTGTTTGCTATCCGGGCCTTCACACGGGCCTCAAAGAAAAGAGCAGGATGCCGATGACGTGAGCGGGTGATTTGCAGGTCAGCAGTCGGCTCGGTATGTTTCTGAAAATCTTGAAACCGCTCCACCCAGCGGCGAACAGGCTGCCAAGGGGGGCAAGTGGGGGAGGGGGGAGGGTTTTATATATAGAAAAATCTTTAAACGCAACTGAATTTCAGCGCCGGCGTGATTTCGTCTGCTGGATGCAACAAAGGGCCCACCAACACCTTCCTCGGACGTCTACGCTTTTTTGTTGCTTGGCTTGGGATTGATGGCTGAGGTGTTGAGTAATTCCTTAAACATGCCTCGATCCGTACCTAGAGCCGGAGCTGAAATCCCGGATAATAATCCTACGTCTTGCAAGGCGGGTAGAGGTTAGCTGTTGCTTAAAAACTTTTTTTTTTGGTTGTTATATTGATATTTAATCCTCCCCTTCAATCATACTCTTCTGTCAGTTTCATTTTCCAGTATATCATCATTCAGCATCTCTCCCGTCTCTTTTGTGCTTGTCTTATTCGTATGACTTTCACTTCCCGCTTTAGTTATTTATATATTTGCATTGAATGGTAGAAAGAAAACAACATTCCCCTCTCCTTACTGCTATTACTTAGCCCTACGTCAAACCACCCGCACAAAACTTGGGCCGAAAGTGCCAACTCCGCAAGGGAATAAATAGGAAATATATTGGGCCGAGATAGGAAACATCATTATCCGCCGAACCATGCTAGCGAGAGACGAGGTCAGCGTCAACGATGACGACTACCATGACTACACTCGCCTCACCCTCAACTCGAGCAGCGGCGTTGGGGAAGATAGGGGCTATCTAACGACTCTCCCCCCGGAGATCCTCCTCGAAATTCTCCAATATGTTGGCGCCGACGAGCTCAGGGCCAACAACCTAGACATGTTACTCATATGCAAATACTGGCACAGCATTGCATCAACAGTCCTGATGGAAGATGTGAAACTCTCAGCGACCGGCTTGAAGAAATTCCTCGCGCTGCAGCAGCTAGAAATGACTGCACCTGGGAATGATATACCGGACCATGAATCTCAATATCAACATCAACACCAGGGAGTTACAAGTACACGAGCAGAAACGAAATCAGATTCGGAATTATCTCCCGTGAATGAGTGCACTACGCCCACGCCAACGCAGACAACAAGCCTCTCCATCCGCCTGACCGGTTACTCAGGATGGTCTACTCTGATCGACCCTGAGACGCAGCAGGCCATCCCGGAACGATTCAAGATCCTCGCTGACTGGGTCGGAAGGACAAGGGCGGATATGACCCGTCTTTCCAGTTGGCTGGGCACACTGAAGACGTTGACCCGATTCCGATTCCAGGCCGAAGGAGAATCAAACTCGCACGGCATCGTGCAGGCGCATCTGTTCGAGCACATGAAGAGTTATCTACACGCGGATGCGGTTGCGCTTATGTGCAGAAGTATCCCGGCGGATCGATTGAGGGTTCTGGAGTTGGATACATGCGGATCGGCGTTTATGGAGGCGGGTGCGGATTGTGCTGAGGGAAGACATCCTTCGGAAAATGAGCATATCTGCCCGCTTATAGGGAGGTATGTGCCGTACCTGCAGCGGTTGAGAGTGAGGATGCATAAGATCTGCCCAGAGGTTTTTGGCGTTGGTAGTAAGAATGATAATCAGTATACGACGGCTCGGAAGGATTTTGTGTTCCATCTGAGCCTGTATGACCCATTGAAGAGGGTGATGAGCGCAAAGTCTGCGAAGCTGTGTTCAGCTGGTACACATTGCAGGAGGGATGTGTTGATAAACCAGATGATTGGAGGGGCGAATATGGCGGCGAGGCAGATGCCTAATCTTAAGGCCACGGTTTTGTATCATGTTTACCCGTTTGATCTTGTGGCGATGGATTGTCGGACGGGCGATACGGAGACGGTCGATGGCCAGGTTGACTGGTTGGATAATGAGGATTTGGTTTTTAGGGATGGGAGGTATCCTTCAACAACCGCTGGCACGTTCGTGACAGTCTGCGCGTTTTGACCTGTTATAAAAAACAGAGACCAATGCCTAAACCTTAGATTAAAATCTGAAAAATCCGAATTGAGACGGTTCTAATAAAAATGGGGCAATGATAACTCCGGGTGGCTTGTCAAATCGTCCCGCATCTGCCGTTGTAAGTATCATTTCCTGATCCCAACGAAGGAAAGCAACCGGCAAACAATGCTAGACAACTTGGGATGAAGTTGAATGAATGGCTGCTGGATGAGGTCTGAACATTTAAGGCAGTCTCCAAGCGTTTCTTGATCACTCATCCCTGGGAATTTCCCTTATCGACATGGCCCATGATGACGAGATGCAAAGCACATGTGGCAGCTATCCGTAGCCAGAGAGAAGAGAGGGAGGGGACTCTCGAAACTATTTTTCATCTCAGACGAGAGTCCTAAACGACCGTGACGGTGATAGGTTTGCTGTATGCTGGGTTGTCCGACCCCCGATTTGTCGAAGTACACCGCAAGAAAATTTCTGGAGAGGCGCGCTCACGTGCTTGAATAGTTATATTTAATTAGTAGCGTTCATAAACCCTTATATAGTAATATATATTGTCAATAGAATTGTAGCTTGCCCCATTCGCATACAAGCAACTAAATGATGTTATTCAACACCACTCCAAAAAGTCAGCGTGGGGACCTAAATATTGGGTTTTCGTAGAAAATAATTGTCAATAATATGCGATAGATATATCCTTATTTTTAGACTTCCAAATCGAGTTATTTGTTCCAAGCCAGCTGATGAAAAGCTCATCTATGTTTGTTGAAGCTGGAGACGGGAAAACGTGAGAGTATTCTTATGTCCTCAAGGGAGGACACTATGAAAGAACGAGCAGCTATGCTTGGAAAACAACGAAGAGAAGTGATGGAATAAAAACACCGTTTCAAGAATGAACGAGCAAAGCTCTTGGTCAGATACCGGAATAAGTAAGTATTCATATCAGGGTAACATGGCACACAATAAGCGGAGTACAATATGCAGCTGCATGTCGGGCCAAGCAACATGTGCGCCAATCCCAGAGCATTTTATCTTCACGATACCCAGACGTCTCGTCTCAGTCGTCTGAAGACAAGAGTCAGCATAGCAAAGAAGTGGAGCCACTCCGAGGCTTTCTCCGGCCTTTAATCATCGCCGAAATTGTTGAGGTGAATGTCAGGGAACATGTAACCACGAACGTGTAACCACGGAAGGATTTTGGGTTGTTCAATTAGCATCTTTGCTGAGGAAAAATTTTTCCCGTTCACCATGACAACGACGTGCCACCCACGCCTTGCTTCAATGAGTAAAGCTCTCAATTTCCCGGCGAACACAAACTATTGGCTTCTAGAAGATAGGCGCCCCAGAGTGCATGCGCATGAATACAGGTCCTCAGGAGAGGCGAATGAAGGAGAAAAAAAAAAAAAAAAGAATCCACCCAAGGGTAGATCCGGTCCGGAGAAAAAGATACTCGCTGTACACGCTGTAAATTGAGTTCGTTTCGCTAGTCGATGGACTATCGAAATAGTCGCCCGGTCAGCGATATCTGATCGGAGAACGACAGCAAGCAAAAAATATGCTAAGAATTTCAACTCTGTCGTTCTCTTTGCGTCCCAACCTTTTCTTCTGCCTGGGATATGTTTTCTCAATCTCTTTCGGTCCATTCCTGATACTGGCAAACAATTTCCTTTTGATTGAATTCATGAGCTAGCGCTGAGTTTGCCGTTCCCAGTTCCCATTTTAGGACTAGGGCTAAATCTTCTGGTGTGTCACGGGATTTCGTGGCTCACCCGCATTGTTTACCTCTTGGCAAGACGCGGGCCGCGGCGCTGCGTGGAACCGTGGGCATGGCTGACAACAGTGACGAGAAGGAAGAAATATTAAATAATAATAATAATAGTTCATGCCCCACGGACACGAGAAACTGAAACAAGGCCGAAGGAAGCAACGGTGCGGGGTTGGTTAACCTGGCGCCAGAATATCGCGAAAGTAAACTAATAAGTGCCGCCGCACGCCATCAGGCTGGAAGTGATGGATGGGCGGTTGGAGATGGGGTTGATTGATGTGATTGATGAACATGCGAGTCAGCTGGGACGGAAACGCCGACGGGAGAGTAACATCGCGAATCCTTTTCGTCCCTTTTTCTTTTCTTTTCTTTTGCTATTTTAGGGAATGTGATTTGCTTGTTGGCGTTGCGTTGGTACGACATGGTTGGTTTAGAAGAGGGAGATGAGGAGCAAATGCCCGCATCTGCTGTGTCCATTGACACCCAGAGCAGAAGCCCAAGGAGAAAGGAGGGGAAGGGACGAGAAGGGCTGACCCGCGAATCTCATGACATCAACATGGGCTAGAGAAATAAACAGAGTGACCCCACTGCTGCATTTAATGATTCCAAGCCTGAACAGAGAATCAAGTTCAGCGACAAAGACTGTACGATACTATTAAAGGGCTAGCTAGAGCGAATACAGTCAATGATCATTCTTGCTGTGTCGTGGTGACCGAAGGAAGAATTCTGCGCGGGCTAGCTAGCTACCGCTGATTGGATGCTCGCATTTCCTCTCTCGGTTAATATTTAATCTCATTCAGAGCCTTGCGGATTCGGTCTCAATGGCGGGTGCTTCCGGTGGTGTCAGTAAGGGGTGGCACCGAGGGCCATGGCACAATAGAATACAGAGTAGAACCCCAGTTTGTGGTTGCGTGCGGTGTTATTTGCCTTCTTGTTGCAGGCCTTGTTACGAAAAAGAACTAACAGGATCATTTTTGGCTAACGCTGAAGCCAAAGCTCCTGCTTGAGAGTCGAGACAGGAGGATTGGTACACGTAAGTGGATCGTGAGACCAGGATCCATCAGTGCAGGCTGGCTGAATTGGAGTCTCTCTCCGAAGTATCGTGGCTGTTGATACGCTAAATATCTGGTTAAAGAGAGCTATTTTCCATAGCAACATCCTTGTCTTTGTCTCCGTGTCTCCCTGTCTCCCTGTTTTCGGATAAATACCCACGGCCGACGCTTGCGCCATGAAGAGCTGAAGCGTTTTTTAGTGACCAGGGAAGAGGCGCACGGCATGGGATCGTCAAGCAACTTGAAGCAAGGCAGATGATGGGAAGAATCTCAGGTTTCCTCTCTTTTACCATGGGGGCTATTCCGATGAAAGGGCAACTGTAGATCTCCATCCATTTGATTGCAAAAATAAGATTTGGAGATGAACGCAGATATTGTTTGCTTCTAACCTTGAGCAAAGAGACATGGTTGACGATCCGCGGGTAGACAGACACACAGTCAATGCTCTCCACAGCAATGTTGGCATATTGGCGCAATTGGAATAACCAACTCGCTTTCTAGCGGAGTGATGTGCTAAGTATAGTTAGCCAGGGTAGGTGGAGGTGGTGATGTAAAACCAAGCTTGATGTAGAATGATATCCTTGTTTTATTGTTTCATGATATACTGCGTAGTTATTCATCGTAAGCCTGGAATGCTCTCTTCTACATCGACACGAACCAGGAAGTGCTTCCGGAACCCTCAGTTTCTGAATCATCTCTGCGCTTATTTTTCTTCTCCCGCTCTTCTCCAGCGTGTAATTTTTAATCATAGGAATGCCAAAGTAGATTATTTCCTTGTTAATAACGCCTCTCTAAAGGAGGAAACGGGGTTTGTTTACCTCCATCCAGCTTTGCTTTGTGTGAGTTTTTCAAAAATTTCCCGTGCATGAATGCGTTGTCGTTTTGGCAAGAAATTCCTCCTGGGGCTGCACGTCATGCCATCGCTTCAGCAACCAGATCGCGGCTCTTCCAGTGAGGACGATAGTAGGAAGAAGCTACTAGCAAGGTTCCGGTAAAGACTATGCAGTAGTTTATTGGACTGGGCGGTAAGGAGAACAGCCAGGCGGGCCAGTCGCAGCGTAGAACGAAGAGATACGGAGCAGACCAAGCCAGCAACAGCGGAGAGACTGCTGGGATCAGGGAAGCTGAAGGTGTCCGATGTACCGGTACCTTTCCCAGTCCAGCTTGAAGCCTGCATCCTAGGTTCCAGTACCTGGATCCGCCTCGCTTTGTCAGGCCTTGCTGCGAGGTCAAGGGGAAGGAGGTTTGAGGCAACGCTGGTTAAGGCTGGCCATGTACCTAGAAGTACCACGCCACGCATTGTTGGCGGGCGCGGGACCTGCAAAGACTTCCCCCTCCCCACTCCGGCGTACCGTTGCCCATTGCAACACGTTCAGCCGCCAGCTTCAAACTATCCCCAACCCAACCCACGATTCCGCTTTCTTCCTCTCTTCTTCCTCTTCTTCTTTTCCTCTTCCTCTTCCTCTTCCTTCTTCCTTCTCCTCCTCCTCTTCTGTGCTCACTCTTCTTCTCCCCAGTCCAGGAGTCCTCTTCTCGTTTCCCCGCCCCCCGTTACAACCTTGTCGACGGTCTTCCCCCCCGTCGTCCCTCTGCTCTCTGCTGCAGCTGCACGGTTCTGCTCCTGCTTTCGATCTCCCTCCTCACAACGCCTTACAACCAATTTACCTTGCTCACTCTTGACTTTGAACGATGTCATTTTAATCTGGAATTCGGCATCTAACGCCTGTCTTCCTAGGTGGCTCGGATCTCGAAGTCATTGCGGTGGGCATAGCTCGTTTTTTTCGGACGAAAAGTTGAGACAGCTGAAAAACCAGCTTGAGGAGGGGTCTACGTCTTGCCGAGTGCATTGGATGTGCCTGCAGATCTGCATTTCAAGGCCAATTGACTTTTGCTTGACTGCTACCATTTCTCCATTCCTCCCTCCGTCCTCCCTACCTCCCCTCGTGGACAATCCTACGCTCGAGCTGGAACTGGCTAGGGTTGTGTGTACTGGTTTATTGAGCGGAGGAAAAAATATAAGGTGATAGAATAATACTCGTTTTGCGGAGCTAAAGAGCTGGCTATGGAACATTCGTCTCCTCTTGCTGCTATGCAGCCACCCTCTATGCTTTTCGGACATTGTTTTCGAGCAGAAGCAGCTACTTCATTCACATCGTTCCCTGCGGTGCGGAATTTTGGCCCGAACAGCTTCAATTTTAAGGAACTCTCCAAGAAGAAAGGGAATCCAGACTACTTCAGTGTGAAGCCCGTTGGAGGATCTTCTCCTACGGCCAGTCTAGCTGCTGATCTTTCGCAGAACTTCCACATTGACCAGAGGTACGTACATCGCGAGCGGAATATTACCAGTTAATCCCTTCTTTTCCTTCTCGCCATTTTCTTTCCTAGGTTTGTTGCTAACTTGGGCTGCAGTCCTCAACTAGTAACGCCCCGGAGATCGCTGTTTTCAGCGAATTTATTTGGTCCGGAAAATGGTCGAGGTATATACGCCATCTTTGTCACCCAGCCGAAGAACACACCAGTGAAGCTAACAGCAACTAGATACTATGACAACGCCCCCTCTACCATCATCTTCACCAGCAATATCTGTTGATATGATGGACATGTCCCCCCTGCCGCACAAATTGCCATACTCTCACCAATCGGACAGTGACTTGGAGTCTCCCACGACTGATCTCTCCAACCTGAAGCCAAATATCTACATGCCTAGTCCCCTGCAAGATTCACCAATAGAGCCTTTTCATCACAATGTTCCACCAGAGTAAGTGCCGTATTCCCCCGCCGTGTTATACGGAGAGCAATTCTTTCTACTTCCGTATACTCATATCCTTCTAGACGTAAACGTTCTGCTTTCCTTCGCCCTTCATTAATGCGGACCAAAACTCATGGTGGTATCTCTAAAAGTCCAGCAGGGGGCCATTCTCAACCGTTGGTGAAATTCGGAAATGGAAGCAGTAAGCTCTCTACGTCAACATCGCTTTCATTGTCTGAGATATTTGAGGGGTCACCGGAAAGGCCGGCCTCGCGGGCCAACGTTGCAAATGAACACATGGGACCGCCTCGCCCACGAGCTCCCTTTTCAGGTTCTCTCGGACAATCTCGTGGAAACGGTTCTCCAGGGCATGGTGCCGTGCGTAAGGGTTCTAATCCTTTTGCTCGACCTAGGAAACAGTGTAGAAGATCGCTCAGCATGTTTGAACATCCTGACGATGTAATGAATCAAGACGACGACTCCAGTGTGAATATCCAATCTTTAAGCGACATGGAAGAGACACCTACCCTACATTTACCTCACTTTATCCCCGAAGATCAACCTGACAGTCTCCCCCGAATTGAGAGTGCTGTTCTAGTTGATATTCTTGATGGGAAGTATAACGATAAATATAATGACATAATCATTATTGACTGCAGATTTGAGTACGAATATGAAGGTGGCCATATCAATGGTGCTGTCAATTACAATGACAAGGACCATCTCGCCTCAAAGTTGTTCTCCGAGGGCATGAAGCCAAACACCATGCTGGTGTTTCATTGCGAGTATTCTGCCCACCGTGCCCCTATTATGTGAGTCTGGAACTCCCTTGCTCCACGTTTTAACATCCTTTTACGTCGTCTCATTCTTACACATTATCGATTTAGGGCCAAGTATATTCGGCACAAAGATCGTGCGGTCAATATCGACGAATACCCCAAACTCACATACCCCGAAATGTACATCCTGGATGGTGGTTACAGTGCTTTCTTTTCCGTGCACCGCACTCTCTGCATTCCACAAAACTATGTCGAGATGGCCGCAAAGGAGCACGCTTTTGCCTGCGAACGGGGTCTCGGAAAAGTAAAACAACGGTCGAAGCTTGCCAGAGCCCAGACATTTGCCTTCGGGCAGCATTCCGCCCAAATGGAGGACAGCCCTACTGGGCGCTGCCGGAATACTGGTGGTGACCGCAACCTGTCCCTGGAAATCCCGGAACCTGGACGTTTGCCTGGACGGCGCATGTTCAGTTACTGACATCTTTCTCTTAATGATCCCTGAATTATGGCGCTAAACGCTTGATGGAGTTACGTTTGCCTGCTACCTTTTTTCCTCTCCTGTTTCAATGGTGTTTCACTGCCAACACCCGCGTTTTGAATCTTGGACCACTTCAATTTATCCTTTCAATCTCACCCCCCCGCGCCGACGTTTTTTGACATCTCAACAGCTTTCGAACAAGACGAAATGGCTAATATACTTGTGAGACCTACCTTATCATTCTTTTGACCATGCCGCCACCGTCGAGGTCGACCAAGCAAACTCTTTTATTCTAATAGAATAATTTGCGGTGGACAACGAAAACATTTACCCCTTATAGGATACTTGGGAGAATTACAGTTATTGGCTTAGCCAGCCTTGAGCCTCCACTACTAATTATTCGATACCTTATCCATCCACATTGTGCGATATCTCACTCATAATGAGTGGTTTAGTTATTACCTCGCCGCCATCGGCCTATACATTTCCTTTCAAGTTTCGACAAAAACAGCTTTTACGATATGACATACTTTAACCACTTTCATCCGCATCGAACTTTATTTCTTATGTTTGCATCTGCATATCTAAGCGCGACCCACACGCGCGAGGAACAAATTGAGACACTTGCCTATCCATCCATCCTCCACCGATCCCGGAATCTTCTCTGCTACAGAAGCATATCCGATTTCTTCGACTTGCTGAAAAAAAACTTTTCCTATGTTTTGTTCTGTCCTGGGTTTGCTTCTCCGAAATTGCTTGCTCGACTTCAACACTCCTCAATTACGTTATATTTCTCGACCATAATACCTACCTCAATTTTCCTGTTTGACCAAGGCCCTTATTCTAACCATTACCTTCTTCGAAATGGTTCTTAACTCTACCGGCCTTTAACTATCGCGTGTTGCCTACTGCTCTTTGCGACCATTTTTTCTCACCGATGATGCGTATAATCCGGTGAAAAGCGAAAAGATCAGACATTTTTGAATCAAACCGGGGCGGTACTGAGGAACCTGATTATGATTGGCTGGGCTCCATCATGTTGTTTTTGCCTGAAATGGAAGATGGAGAGGTTTCCATTCGTTTGATTTTATGGCTGCGCACTTGCCCGCGCCCTCAATCATCAGGATGTGTGGAGGGGATATTAGAAAACAGTGACTGAATTATTGAAGAATGTGCGAGGTGGAAGAATGGTGTTCTGACAGACTATGGACTACCACTGGCGGGTTGGAGCGTTCCGGGGATGTCCCTTGCCTTTTTCCTTTTCTTCCTTTTCCTTTTCCTCCTTTTCCTTTTCCATCTCTTAAAAAAATATTACAATACCTTTAGAAAATCAAATGAAAATGAAAAAAAAAAAGATTTATAAATTATTAACAGTCCTTCTTTGTAGTACATACTGTTGGCTGTATGCTCTGTACTCCGTACTGGCTCTCATGAGCTTGTCCATCGCATCGCGAAACGCATTTTTGGTGCAACCAAACACGCGATTCAATTTAACCGTTTTGGGAAATTCACCCAATAAACAACCACAAAAACACACAAGCTCACCGCGCGCTCAATCGCTCCAGAACAGCCAAGGACAAGACCTTCTACCCTCAATTATAACCACAACCCCAATTTGCAGATATTAAAAACAAGAAAATGGACATTGATGATATTCTCGCTTCCGTCGATCGACCTGACTTCACGTCGCCAGAGGCCGCCGCGCTCGATGCTCAGCAACTGACGCGATTCTGGGTGACGGAGAGGGGCGTGCCGGAGCTGTTGCCATGGCCGGGCCCGCTGATGGAGAGAGTTATGGAGAGGGTTCGAAGACAGGTGAGTGAGATTTATATTGAATTGAGGCTTTTGAGATTTCCGGAGTATTTGGTTTGAATATGTTCTGTGAGAAACAGTGGTGGTGGGGTTTGCTTCCGCGTGGGGTGGTGCGGGGAGAAGAGCCCCGGAATATTTATCGGCTGAGAATTACATACTATATATATATGTATATATATATTGTGAATACTGTCGGCGGAAAATGATAACTAAAGAAAACATATTATAAATTTCTCCAGATTGAAAAAATCGAAGACCTCACCGCCGCCGCCTCCGATCCCTCCGCGACAAACCCATCAACAAACCCAACCACAAACCTCAAACTCTCCATCCTGCAAACAGACCTCTCACGCACCCAATATATAATCCGCTCCTTACTACGCCAGCGCCTCTCAAAACTCACAAAGCACAGCCTACACTATCTCCTCCTCTCCACCCCCCTCCCCTCGTCATCCGTCGCCTCCTCACAATCCCACGAACAATCCTCCCAAGCAACCTTCAACACACCCACACCCACCCATCCCCGCCGCACAGCCACAAACGCCTATAAATCATCAATCATAGACCAACACCAACAACCCCTCCTCTCCCCGCAAGAATCCGCCTTCCTCCAAACCCACCAATCCCTCCTAACGGCACACTACAACAACTCTTTCCTCTCAACTTTCCCCGCACAGCTGCGGCGATTGGATGACAATGCTGGTGGGACAACTATGATCCAAGGCCCCGAGACGAAGGAGGTGGTGTTCGTGCGCTGTTTGGTGGATGAGGTCAGGATTGTCATCCCCTCTGGTGAGGGTGATGGGATGGGAGGCGATGGGGATGTTTATGGTAGGAGAATGAGGTGGGGGGAGGTTTGGATTGCGCGGTGGGAAGGGGTTAAAGAGGCGTGGGCCAGGGGAGAGGTGGAGGTTTTATGATATTGGCTTCTTCTTTTTTTTTTTTTTTTTTTTTTTTTTTGGGATGGTGAGGCGTATTGTCAAGCTGGTTTGGGTCTTTATATATATATAGAGAAAGAGAATACTAGATGTGAAATATAGATATGGACGGCGTTTACAGGGCGTTTTATGGTCTTGGATGGATGGGTTCCCATTTTTGTTGACCTTCTATACTCGGCTTACAGCCCTCACTTGTCCCATTGTTTCTCATTTGCATTGCCTGGCGATGGTGTTGATTTTATGAATGGGAAATAGGAAGAAGATGAGGGGATTAATGGACACGTTCACAAAAATTCATTACCATCGTGTTGAAGAGGACATTTCTAGTCTACAGCTCGCAAAGTAAAACCGAATAGACAAGGAAGGAGAATTAATTGTATGTGGAATGATTGGGAAATGTGGGCATGGCGATTAACATTTACGTCGAAATAAAAAGTGAGAGGACTTACTCCGATTCGGAAAAGGTATTAAAAAAATAAAATAAATAAAATAAAAAACCGAAGATGGGAGGAGCGCGGGCAGAGGGTTGGTAGCAGTAAAACTAGAGATCGTTAAAGCGGAGGGAAAGTGCACATATCCATTGAATATGAAGTCCAGGCTGAGGTTATTCAATATTCTTTCTCATGCATGCCGTAAGTTCATTACCACGTTCAGGAACAAATATGAAGAAATATAAAAGACAAAAATCAATATTGCTCGCACCATCCAATTTCCCATATGATACCAGCCCCATGTAACCCAAAAGTTTGGCGGAGAAGAAAAGAAATGGAAATGAGCATATGTCGCTGAGAACATGAGCCTGGAAGGGAAAATCGTGAACCTATGGAAGAAGACAAACCCGCTTGAAGCACTAACTGGTTACCTAGTCCTTGGTAGGTAGGGTAGGCTATGGCAAAAGATTCTCAGGATCCCAGAAATCAGAAAAAGAGGGGAATGCAGAGGGGGTCATCTAGTGTCATCATCAAACTACGTGAAAAGGTTGTAGTCCTCATCTTTCGCTGGGAGTGTGCGGGTGAGTGTATTGTCTACGCGTGATATACATAAGCTGGGGGCTCGGAATCTGGAATCCGATCGATGTATTCGCGGTCTATTAGACTCTCAATTCTCTTCTTGACCATGTTCACTTCGGGGGTGAACCGGGAGACGAGTTGCGAGATTACTTCCGCAATCAATTGGGAGTGAGAAAGCGTTTTTCTTTGTCTGTTGATAGGTTCGGAGATCTATAGTTAGCGTTGTTTCTCTATTTACGCTTTGGAGGTTTTGGGAGTAGATTGTTGGGGTAGATATTGTGGATAGGGTCTCTAGCAAATCAACCTCGTGGATTCAGAGGGGGAGCAGAAAAACTTACTTCATAATCCGTACAATGGCAGCTTCGATGCTACCACCGCGCTCCTCGTTCATTTTCTTTTCGGTTTCTTGCCGCTCATCCTTGTTTTCGACCTTGTTGCCTGCACTGCTGACGACACCTATTTTAATTTTGGTATACGGACTATGGAATTTTTCATTGAAGGAGAATCGATCCGTCGGCTTCACGTCTTTACTCATAGGTTCCTTCATTAAAACTTGAGTTTTCCGCGCCACAGCAAGAGATTGCAGGTTTCTCGAGAGTTCGTTGGTTGGGATATTCGTTCGGGCTTGGATTTCTTCGAATGTGAGAGATTCGTCCGCAGGTAAATCATTGAATAGGAGTAGAATAACCATTGCGTATGTGGAAACGTTCAAGTCGTGGCGAACAACCTTTCCATTGGGTCTCGAAAAAGTAGCCCGAATATCGGCAGTACCCATGCCAGACTGCCATGAAAGTTTGCGCCCATTGTGTTGTCCTAAGTAAAAGTGCTCGAAGCTTTGTTTGAGCTGTTCGATGTGCTTTGGGTAATTGCATTGCATCGAAGGCGTGCCGTCTTTATTGGAGCTGGTTACCATTTCCATCGGCCACATTGTGCTTGTAAGCACACTAATTTCGAGGTCAATCCGTTTTGTATTCTGGTCTTCTTGCTGTGACAGGTAGTTCGCATAGTTGGACGTGAGACCGCTGGATAGTTCCATATCCTTGAACATGGCTTCTAATTTTTGCGTAAAGGTATTGCCGACTTCCATCTTCATTTTTTCAATCATCTGTCGTTCTGCTTCTGTGCTTGCGGACCGCTTCATGAGGAGCCGTCGGGAAAGGTGTTTCTTATAGTAGCTCTCGAAGCAATCTTTGTCGCGGATATACCTCAGTAGAGTGATTCCATTATCCAGCAGTGCATCTATTTCCTCCTCTGTTTTACCTCGGATTCCCTTTTTCAAATTTTCATCGAAGAAAAGTGACAGGTACTCCGAATTTCGAGAGTTTATATTGATGAAATCTGCAAAGCTTGTTGTTATGGAGGACTGCATTGCTTGATCCTGCTTGAAAGCCTGCTCCAAAACTTTATCAAACACGTTCTTCAACCGCAGAACATCGTTCACCCATTTTATTGCAGCTGCAGTCTGCAGATTGACTGGGCCCTTGTCATCAGTTCCCTTGCCTTTCGCTCCATTTTGGGCCTGGTCTGGCGTGTTTTGACTTTGTGGAGGGCCTTGAGGAAGTTCAATGGCTGCATTATTGATCTCCGACCCTAGTTCGATGATCCGCGCCTGTACAGCGGATGTTAGGGCCCTCTTTTTCCCGTCAATCCTCGAGTTTAACTCGTAGACATTTTTCAAATCGTCTAATCGATCATTGTCTAGCATGTATTTGACACCGCTATCTGGCAGAGATATAACATCTCCGATGTGTTTTTCAATCAGATTTTCATCGATAACCTGTTTGATTTTGTCCTCTGTCGCAGGAGATAATGTATATCGACAGCGGTCTTCCTCCTCTTGTAGCCTTTCAGCTACCCGCTTACAGAAAGTGGAGGCGTCAGCTGTAGCAAGGAGACGCTGGCCTTCTCCGAGGTAGAAAATCCGGCTCGATTCCAAAAAAGCGGGCTCAAAAGAGGTAAAATAAAGCTTCCCAGATTCCTCTTCCTTTTCTGTTTCATAGAGGCCTTCAAGCATGTATATGCAATGCCGTATTAAAGCTTGATCAATAATGTTGCCTTCTCGTTCTAGCCGGATCATGAATAGCACCGTTGCTTCGAATACATCAGCAACTGTTATTGGTCTATCCTCTCCAATGTCTGATCTCAAGACGTAATCGCGGAATAAGCACATCGCAGTGGTATAAATCGATGGTCGGAGTTTATCCTGGAGGATTATTTTGTCCTTTTTGGAGATGTGTTAGTACATACAAGTAGCAGCCTCGGAACTAGAGAACAAAGTGAGAGTCTTACCATGTACATAAGTACATCTGTGATCATGCCCATGCAAAGCTGGTGATGTTCCCATACTTCTTTCAGTTTCAACAAAAAACGTTCGCCAGCTACCCTTCTCTCGTTGGCTTGATCCAGGGTGTCCACCGCGTCTCCCTCCAGTGCAAGTGATGGGGAAATAATTGCGGTGACTTTTCTTAGCACCTCATTTTGAAGCCAGTTCCTTTCTAGTTCAACTACGCGATCGTAAAGGTCTGGACCTTTTTTAATAAGAACGAGTTTGTATGCGTTCCGGTACAATTCTTCGAATGATAGGTTCGAGGCGTTTTTTGTATGGATTTCTTGAAGCGAGGCAGCCAGTAAAGCCCACGAGGTATCGAAATCAGCGGAGCCGTCTCGCGCGGCCATGCTCTAATTTAAATAATAAAAGTCAACTCAAATGCCCCGATAGCGTGTTTGATTCCATGGAGAAAATATTGCGCTTGGGCTGGTGAAAAGCGGGGAGGGAACGGAGGTCGTGCGGGGGTCGGATGAGAAAACATACCCGTCGCGGAACGCGAATCTTATTTTTCGGTTTCATCGCCATTGTTCACTTAAAATGGCAAAGTATCATTCCTAGTGAGAAATAAAATCACCCTTGAAGCTGAAGAAACAGAGTGAGCCGCTGGGATGAAGACAACTGTGAACTTGGCGGGGGAGAGCGGAAGACGCCAGGAGGGTATGTAGCCAGCTCCAACTACAACAATTAATTTGAAAACAAGTTGAATATCGGTTCTCCATAGCCCAATAGCATTGAAAAACATATAGAATTCACCCTCTTCCCTCTATAGCGGCAACGGGGAGCTGGTGGAATTGTTGCTTGGGCGTAACACATTTGTTGCTGCCTCGAACTATATCACTGGCGCGCCGGAACAATATATTTCCGGTCCAGATGACAGGAATATTATTTATCCGAGAACCACGTGAATCCAATTATGTCATTCCAAAGAGAAAAAAAAAAAAAAAAAAAAGTACTTCGGACTGCGGAACGAAAGTTGTATAACCAAACCCCCTTCAGCATACGAAGACGACGCAATAATTAATAATTCGTTCGGTCTATCCCTTGTCACAAATCATGGCTTCCTCTCGACGACTGGTTCAAATCTTGGCAACTCGCGCAAATCATAGTTCTCTCACTTCACAGTCATCTAGAACTCAATCTTTCATATCATCCCGGATACGTCCATTCACTGCATCCCGACTTCCTGCATGCCGCCCAAATCCTCCGCCGCTCCTCTCCTCACAATTTTGCAGATACAACACAACATCCACTAGACCTCCAAAGCCTCTCACAGATAGCAAACCTGCGACCCCCGAAGATGCCGCGCAGAATGCCCGACGCCGCGCAGAAGAGCGCGCGTTTCAAATTACATTCACTTGCAAGCCATGCGGCCACCGCTCATCACATCGTATCTCGCAACACGGTTACTATAAAGGCACAGTGCTTATTTCTTGCCCAGGTTGCAAGAATCGACATGTCATCAGCGACCATCTGAACATCTTCATGGATAAAAAGTCTACGCTAGAGGATATCTTGTCGGAGCACGGACAGACGCTTTTGAAGGGGAAGCTGGACGGTGATATGGAGTGGTGGGAAGACGGCACCGTAAGGGCTGTTGCAAGCGGCCCTGCGAGTGACGTACAGGGGCAGACCGGCCAGACGGCTCAGCAACAAGACAATGCCGGTGTTGCACAGGGGCAGGAACGGACTCAGGAGCAGAAGCAAGAGCCGGATGAAATCAAGCAACCGGGACATAGATAGCACCAACCTTGACTTCCCCTTTAGGGTGTCATTATATAGGCTATGAATATTTATATTTACAGAGGGTGCGGGTTCTTTTCATACTATGGCGTTGGTTGGATGTTTTGATATATGATACCAGGGCTAGAATTTCCTGCTGACGACTTCTCTAGACACGTTCGACTATGTATGTACTATATAACAATACATTGCACACGAATAATTGGGATATAAAACGCCGCTTCGTCTTGTCACCTGATAAAATTTCAGACCAGTTTTTTAGCCTATATTATCCCAAACATCACACATACTTCCCAAGTGCCACAAAAAAGAAAACGGATAAAAATGCAATATACTAAAGTTATCGTAAACACGAAGAAAATAATTCACCAGCCACGTCTCCGATCTTGATATTCTGCGCCCTTTTCCTTCCTCTTCTCTCGCTTCCGGTCATTCTTCCTCTTCTTTTCTCTGCCGAACTTCTCAGGATCAGCAACAGCTTCGATGCGCCTCTTAACTCTTCTACCCTCCCGTCTTGACTTGACACTCTCACGAACCGCCGCCATTTGCGTCACGAAATCAGTCGTACCTAACTTCTTCTGTAACAAATCGAGGATCTCCTGGCTGCTGCTAACAAGGGCTTTGTAAGTAGCCTGGAACTGCTCATCGAGGGAGCGAGGCGCAGGGATCGATGGGTCGGTTAGATGTATTAACGGAAGAAGGATTGTCTGGAGGGACGGAGTAATTTGAGCGACGTCAAGATGAGTGCAGAGAGCTGCGAGAAGTTTCATGCAAGCCGTTTTATTGATTAAAGAGTCTGCACGGGTGGTTCGAGGCTCTCGTCGAAGGATGGCAGCAGCTCGTTCGAAAATATATTCAATTGCTGGCTTGTTTTGCTTTGCGGAATTCACCGTAGCTGGGTCAATGTTGTCTTCATCGTCGCTGTCGTCGCTGAAATCACCAGCCAGCTCCTCAGCCTTCTTCGAAAACGCAAGGTTATTCTGGCTGAAGCAGCGTCCTAAGAACACCAGATTCCGGATTGTCTGAGTTGCGAGATCTTCGGAAATAGTGGTTGATTTCAGACATAGCAGACTGGCTCGCGTAATATCTAACATCATGCAGCCTTCGAGCTTAAGACCAGATGCGCCGATGAGTGGGACAGAGCCATAACCAGTAACGGCATTTCCTTTCGCTTCGTCTGCAAGCCATATTCCAATTAAATTTGCTGCGCATGACTTGATCCACGCGTGTGGATAGAAGAGGCTTTCGCAAACATAGCGCCAGATGTTCTCGCAATCCTCGGACATGGCAACCGCTGGATAGAGCTGGCATAGTTTTGTAAAGAGCTGTAGCGAATGGTAGAGGACTTCCCACTCTTCCCCTTCGCAGTTCTCCACTGCGGGGCCAAGGATTCGAGGCAATAAATCCGTAACAAAACGCATTTCGCCTTCTTTATTGTTCCTATGCGACTCAAAGAATATCCTGATCGCTTGTAACCCAGTGGCAGTGAGCAGTGTGTTTTGGGATTGCTCCAACCAGGAGCGAAGAGGAGAGAGCATAGACTTTAGCTGCTCTGAATCAGCACGGCTGAAGAGATCATTAAGAAGAACACCAGCCATCTCTCGACATTCAACTGCCTCATCATTAGACATTACCATTACCACTGGCACAAAAAAGTTACCCACAATATCCTGAGCAGGGTCGCCATTGGTCTTGGAGAGAAGAAGATGAACTGCTTCCATAACGGACTGACGGCCTTCTTTATGTTGATAGTCAAGGTTTTTGGCGAGGAATCCAAGTTGCTTCGTCCACCTGCTTTTAGCTTGAGGGTATTCAATCATAAAGTGTATAAAGACACCTCTTGCGAGATCGCGAGCACTTCTTGTGTGGTTTGTTACCATCATCGCAGCAACATTATCGACAAGCTCGTACATCTCGGGAACAATAAATTTGCGAGACATCACTGCCCGAATGAAATTGAAAGCCACTCCTTGACGGTCAGGCTCCTCGATGTCAGCAGCTATTCGTTTCAACAAATAGCCCAGGTGGGAGTCCTTGAGCTTTGTACTCTTACGCTCGCGTAGGATGGAAGCGATGAGCTTCAAGGCAGCTTGGGCAGCTTCGGTATTTGTGTTCGGAGCTTCTTTGACCAACTTAATAGCTTCCATTAGATATACATCAGAGTTTCTATCGAGCTCGGAAAGTGGGACTTTGATGATCGTGGATATGAGTCTAATGGCAGACAGTTTGACCTCCTCATAGCTCTGTAGCAATGCATCTCCAATAATGGGAAGGAACCCTGCAACGTTGGCGGCTGTCATGAGAGATTGGTACTTATTTAGCACGGAGCGGAGAACATCAAGTCCGAAGCGAGAAAGCTTGTAGGAATAGGAAGATGTGCTTCCTCGATTCATACGGTTCCTCGGGTTAAGCAAATTGACGATGAAACGGGCCCTGTTACCTTGCTCCTGTGTTTCAATTTGTGGTGTGTCTGCTTTGTATGACTCCTTTATCACCTCGTAGCAGAAAACCAAAAGATCACGGCTTTCAGCTCCAGGATTCCGCAGCAGGCCGACACCGATCCGTCTAAGCAGTTCGTCGACTTTTCTGATGATGGTAGCCGTAAGTTTCTCTCGCAAAAGCGCTTGCACTGGGTTAATAAGAGCCGAGAGATGGCGGATTGTCGATATTTTCGCGAGTAGCTCCATTGAATCATAGCTTTTGTTACTCTTTACCTCCTTCATTTTGCTCACGTACTCCTCGGCGTCCTTCTCTTGGCCGACGGTGCCGAAAATATCATCCATCACCACGGCTGCTAGTGCGTCGAGACTGTGATCGAGGTCACCAGGCTCGAAATGGTCGCTGGTGGCTACAAGAATCGAATGGACTGTAAAGGACAGCACATGGAGTTGGTATCCTCTTGTTAACGTGCTCCGCAATTCTCTCAGAATATATCCAAAGTAAGAAGGTCCAAGAATAAGCGCGACATCAGCGAGTGTTTTTCTGGCCATATCCCTAGCATCCTGAGACCGACTTCTAAGAACGTTCGATAGGTCTAGCAGTACCGATGGGAGAAGAAGTGCCATTTCATCCTTAGGAAGAAGTTTGAGTAACTTAACAGTTATGACTGCGACTGGGACACGGAGATGAACTTCGGATTCATCCTTCTGGTGTACAAACTCGGATAAGAAAGGGATGAAGTTGGTTTTCAGTTCTGTCCCGATGCGAGCCTCCGCAGGCAAAGTCTTCGAGAGCGTGCTTTTAATCGTAGACTCTTTCTCAATTCCTTCCATTTCTCCATCCCCAGCAACCGGCTGTTCTTCTTTATCAATACTCATTGCTCGAGACAAGCCATCGGTCATCTGTCCTAGAAGACGTATAACGTTCTTTTCCATCCCAGGGCGACTTCGTACATATCCCTTGTATCGGCGGAATATCGCTCTAAACTGGCTCCACTCCAGCCCTTCAGACAGCACCCCAATAGCTGTAACTGTCTCCGCGGCCAGGTTATGGGCACTATCGTCTTCTGCCTGATCAAACACATAATGTTCAATAAGAGGTAAGAAAAAGGAGCTAATATTTGATGACTCAAACTTTCCTTGTCTAGCCTCAGTAGCCAGTCGCCGCAAGGCACGAAGACGACGATGTTGTTGAATATGGAGAATATTATTGAAAAACGATGCCTCTTCATCCCCACCTGCTAGTAAGTCCACCATGTCGGTCACGGCCCGATGGTTCGGGTTATGCGTTATGAAATAACCCAAGACAGAGACGAACTCGGCCCGAACTGTCTCGGCAGGGTGTTTTGCTCCGTTCCTCAACGCAGGCAACAAAGCTTTCTCGAGCAAAAATGAGTAGTCTTCGCTATCACCCTCTGGTTTTGAACCCACGCTCTCGATAAACCTTTTCAGTCCAAATGATGAACTTGATCGAATTGCAAGTTCCTCCTCGTCTTTAACATGGTATAGAAGATTGAATAACAGCGGGCGCCATTGCCTAGCTGTGAACTCCTTGTACTTCTGTTCGTTTATTGTGTTAAATGCCCTAAGCCGTCGGTCGAAATCTAATTCATCAAGATTTTTCTCTGATATAGCGTTGAGGTCTGCACATAATTCGGCAACACCTTTTAGGTCCACTTCGTGGTTTGCAAATGCAGACAACACGGATGAGAGCATAGCACGGTTCGGGTTATCTTTGAAGTAATCGAATAGGGAGGAAATTACTTCAAAGATTCGCTGGTTGAGGTCCACATTTTGGCGTGGATCATATAGGGGGAGGAAATGATGCATAACACGCAGAAGTCCGCTTTTGGCTTTGGGGGGTACTCGATCTGCAGGTTCGTTAAGGAGAAATGTAGCCGTACTAATTAGTTTCGTGGTTTCTTGCGATGACTGGACAAACGGCGCGAGTTTAGATAGGGTCTCAATTGCAGCCATCGTAAGTTGCCGCGTAGATTGATTCCTGAGCAGGGATTCGACATGTGTCAATATGTATTCAACATTGGGTGCCAGCACTTTAGACCGGATTAGATCTGTTGTTGCGGCATCTGGCAAATTCTCTGGGTCGTCTGTCTCGCCATTCGCGCGACTGACGAGGTTGTTAAGAATTTCATTCAGAACAAATATCTTGACGTCTTCGCGAGCAGATTCAACGCCAAGGCAGTCAACAATTCGTTGAATGACCTGTTGGTCAGCATGCAGGAAGTAGAGAGCTGACTTGGGGCTGGACGCCCAGGTGTGGAACAGATGAAGAAGGCCGGACACACTTTGCGCTGTTTCCACGGCGAAATTTCCTAATCTTGGGCTGATGATCTCGTTTAAAATCAGGGGTATATATGGAGTCCAATCATAATCGGGCGAAACAGAAAATATCAGATCGAGACAATGGACACCTGTCTGCCGAGTATTGCGGATGAGAGACGAATGATTCTCTTCTGAACTGGCATCGTTCAACTGCCTGCAAGCTCTGACAAGACAGTATAGAACTACGTTCATGGAGCGGTCAACGAAAGGTGACATCTTGGTTTTCAGGGTTTCGAACATAGTTTCCACCATCTTCAGAAGGCCATATTGCTTTCTAACACCCATCACCTCCTGATTGAGGCACTGGCCATGTCCAGGGTCGGTTTCGAGGACGCGAATATCGCTCAGGGGACCAAACGCTATTTGAACGAAGTGACCAAAGTCGCTTTCAGAGAGTTGGGATATTGTTCTTAAAATGGTCTTTCTGCGTGCCTCTTGGGTCCCCTGTCCACCCCTAGAGCCCCCACGGGCGACAATCTTGCCATATAGAAGTCTCAGCAGAACAGGGAATAGCTCAGCACGATGATTTTCCTTAATCGTACTAGCCTCCTGGCCAGCATTTAAGAACACTGATAGTTCATCTCGGAATCTCGCATCATCCACAATATTCAAAATGTTCGTCTCGTAAGGTTGAATTGCAGGTGACTTCCATGTGAAAATAGCCTTCAGTGCAGATTTTTGAATTTCAGTATCTCCATTACCGAGAAGGCCAAGCAAAGCTTCATGGACCTCTGCTGCTTTGTATAAAACTTTGGGGTTGACGAATTTTCCGAAGATGTCCAGCATAGCTTTCCGGTCACGCAGATTCCAGGAAGAAACAGAACTATCATCTGTGCCACTTGTACCAGAAGGCTTGGATTCGTTGGCGGTAGGGATGTCATCATCATGAGCTGCCCATATCAGGAATAGAGGAACAAATTGCCGAGATCGTTTCTCCGCCACTTGAGGTACAGATCCCAGGACCTTGAGGGCCTGTGTTCGACTAGAAGTAGAACGTTGAGGTTCCGTAACATGAGCACGCTTGAAATCTTCTGCGAGCAACGAATTAGAGTTGCGGGAGTCAGCGAAAGTCGCACACATAGTTTTCTCGACATTTGAAACGTTAAAGCATTCGAATTCCGACGAAATATGCGATTCAGCGGATTCTTCTTCGGGGGTATTTGCATTGGTTCCAAGCGGACTAGGCTCTTGTAGCCCGCGCATGGCGAGCTCCGTAACAATGCTTTCTCCATTTGGAACCTCGCAAATTGCCTTGATTGCCTCACATGCGTCATCCCACAGCGACGCGAGCCGTTTAGATAGCAAACCAAAACAGAAATTTGGAATAATTCGATCCAACCACTTTTTGGAACACACCGTTGGGTATGCAATCGCAAGTTTGCGTACCTGCATGGATAGAGCCCTTGATGCATGCAGAGTAAGCTCGCTCTGTTCGATTTCGATCGCTATTTCTATGCAAGTACTGTCGCTATCGTTCACCCTGGACAATAAAACTTGGAGAATCTTGAGTGACAATTGTCTGATGTCGTGCGATGGGCCAGAAAGGTTATTAATCAGAGTTGTAGCAAATGGTTCAAGGTCTGCGTCCGGGACCTGCTCGTATTTGGTACAAGCAGACAAATAAGCCAAGGTTGCTTCAAGGAAAACCGGACAATTTGAGCACTCAGGGCCGTTGGACACTATCATACTCCAAAGACCTAAATCAAGTGAGCCTAGTTCCGTAGCAAGGCGGACGTAAGCCAAAAACCCTTGGCCTCGGGCAAATGTGACCTGGCCCTCTCCAACGTTGGGGGAGAGTGCCATAGCAATCTTTAACCGATCGTGGAGGCAGTGGGTTAGCTGTGGAAGAATCGAGGGCTCGGAAGTGAGTGATATAGCCTCATGGAGTTTGGTATAGGAATGTAGGAAAGCGATATCCTCGGCTGTGGGATCGAGTTTGCTGAATCTTTCCACGATAGCCTCCTTCCAGCCACCAGGGCAATTTAAAGATCCGGGCCTGTTAGGTTGAGACGTGACGAAATGGGCGGCATGAAGTTTGGGTAATATCTGGCAAAGTCCAGATTCGTAATCCTTCCAGAACGAAGTAATGAACCTAAAGCCAAAATGTCATAAGATGTATCGAAATGATATTTTGATTCACGAGTCACTTACCGCTGAAAGTATGGGAGTACAACGCTTTGAAATCGATCGGTCCCGAAAGTAGAGAATAACGAGCAAAACGGGAGGAAGTAGTCCCGCAATCGGTCGCCGCTAATTAACTCCATAATAGGACGCATAAACGACAGCAATTCGTCCATCGGGGACGTATGCACGGCAGTCACCACGGAAGCTAAAAGGAGTTGAACTGAATCCGCCGGGATATTGGGCGATTTAGCGATGCGACCAAGAAGGGTCATGAGAGTTTGATGTACTCTTTTCCAGTTGCTAACTCTAGAACCCTTGCGCGCGGTTACGGCAACAAAAATCAAGCGGATGTCAATCTTCGTCGCTGCAATGTTACCATTCGGTTTAGCGGATCCAATGTGATCACAGATCACATCAAGCACCGAACCAAAGGTGTTTGAGGATGTGTGATGAACCAAATTAATTACAACCCCACTAAGAACCTGCTCTGCGAGGGCGCTTTGGGCTTCATCTTTCACAGCGGCGGCACTGATTAGGCAACGTATGATGTCAGCTCCATTCGAATGGATACCACCATTCACTCCTTTAATCGCATCAGAAAACATTGACATAAGGCCTTGTTGGTACATTGAAATCTGACGTTCCCCATCAGTGCTGGCGAGATCCTCAAAAAGAAACGTAACGGCTCTGTCGAGTGGCGCCTTATTTTTGTAGTAGACAAGCGCGGCCTTCCGAACCAGGAAGGACATCGACTCCGCAGCAAATCTTGTCACAAAGTGTTTTTGCTTTTCCTTCCCAAGGTACGGGGACATTATCCCGAGTAGTTGGCGTAAGTCCGGAACAAGGAGGCGGGACAGGAACTTGAAAATCCATGCCAGACATGTAAAACTCCATTCTATAACCTCGATATTTGGATGTGTGGCTGCGACGGAGGCCACCAACGTGACGGTCGACGCAAAGTGTCTTTCGAATCGCTGGCCCAAGTCTCGTGCAAACTGAGCTACAAGACTCAGCAGCGGTTCCATGCTCAACTCATCTCTTTTCCCGATATACTCGGCCAATAATCCCATTATTCGATCTTCATGATGCAGAATCTGCGGTAAGCTTTCGCAAAGCCGATTAACTCGCTGGGAGAACTGAGTGAAGTTTTCTGACAGGTTAAGTTCCACCCAGTGCTCCAGGGAGGCCCTGAAGTACGAATCGGACTCAGAGTCGCTGTCATCGCCAACGCTGGCCCGTCGCACACGATGGATAGGATCGATTTTTAATTTGGCGACGCGCTGGGAGAAAGACTCGAATCGGTGGGATTTTGTCGTAGCTGTGCCCTTCTTTAAGAGCTTGGCAGGCTTGCCCTGGCGCCCAGAATGTGCTGTCGCCATGTTGCAGGCTGCCAAATTGGAAAACGAAGGTGTCTTCAAGAACCATTGATACAGCTGGGAAACATTTTGAAGCTTCAAAAATATTTAGGGTTTTATCGCCGCGGTCAAATGATAATCCGATCTTATCTTATCTGATGATGCTTGTAAACCACGTGATATCTTGCCCCAATCTTGGAACTCCACAGCATTTGCTCTGCGAGGCCTTTAATTAATGTCCATTACCGACATTCACCTTTTGAGCGCTACTATTTGTTGGAACAATTGAGCTGGAATTCATGGAGAAATTCAACCAGGTTTCTGTTAAGTCTCAATACAGGGTTTGAAATCTCATCAGTACACATACATAATTAGATAATGCACGCCTGCTCTGTAGACATGAAACTAGAACACCCATTTGCGTCAATCCACCACACAACTTCCAATCAGTAAGCCACATATGTCAATACTTTTGAGGCATTCCAAGCCAAAGGAGAGCTCGTTACAATACCAGGATAGTGTACCAAGAAGCTCCGATACAAGCTGCCTGTATGCTGTCGTGTGTTTGTGCATGTGGGTGGGTTGCATATCGGATCAGTGTGTTTTTAACCCCACAGTTTGGCAGCAGTTGTTCCCTTGTACCCTATATTTGGATAATCTACGAGATACGTCAGAATTTAATCTGTATACTCCAGACCAGGGCTCTCTCTTTAGAGTGAAGTCGATAGATGGAAATGCAAGCGAAAGAAGATCTGGGTATGGCTTACTCGGGTCGTAGAAAACGATATAGCCTCGACTGTTTTCAACTCCAATCTTGGCCTTCAGGAACTCCGTAAAGGCCTCGGAGTAGCAAATGTTATTTTCGGGTGTGAGATTTCCCAGAGATGTTATGCGTAGCTGGAAGCCTGATTGTTCCAAATGGTCAACACTGTGAAATTATGGTTTCGAAAGAACAAGTATGGATGGGATTAGATACATGGATCGTGGGTGCCTGCAAAAGTCAAGATTTCATCGGCACGAACTTGAACTGAAATTAGAGATTCGGGCTTTTGAAGGATCTCTGCCGCTGTTTTGGACAGCGATAAGGCGAGATCCTTACTCTGCTCGCGGGAGAGCGCGACATTCGTGAGCAACTCAAGAAAAGGCATTTCGGGTAAAAGTTACGAAAAACCAAGGGCGTGCGAGAGTCAAGATCCAAAATTGATCCGATACGCTTAACTAATATCTACAATAATGGTTAGAAGAAACGAGATCAGTAGGCGGATTAGAAGGCTAGCCTGCCTGAAACGATCAACGAATTTGCTAGAAACCGATCTGATGTTAACGTTGGCAGAACTGTAAATTCAATGACCTACCTGGTTGGTCGTTAACTATATTGCTTGTTCAGAAGGTTGAACGTGGTTGGTTGTTATGATCTATCTAGTGGCTTAGGGAGCGGCAGCTAATATAATGGATGAGTGTGTGGGTCACGTGGGATAGGGCTAGTGATCCAGACAACAACAGCTCCAGTTGCGTGCACTTCTCTGAAGCTTGCGCACAACATATTCATACGCTAGCATAATGCTATGGCATCTAGAATGTAAGTAATATATCATTTACATCTGAATCAATTGGATATTAGGACTTACATATGGATGCAGAATTGTTCTGGGGAGTGTGAACTGCTCAATCAAAGAAGTGTTCACAAAGTTAGCAAAGCTCCAAGTGAAGCAAAACTTTGCATTTGCTATTATCGCTGGGGATCTTTTTGGTGATGGCTCAAGCGAGGAAGAGCTCAAAGACATTACAGCATTGCTGAGTGGGACTATTGCTGTGCCACTGTCCACATATTTCACCGTTGGAAACCATCCTATCCCAGCCCGCATCATCGAAAAAATTGAATCTGATGATGAAGTTTGCACAAATCTTTACTTCCTTGGCCGACGTGGAACCCTCAAGACCTCTGAAGGCATTAGAATTGTTGCACTGGGAGGCAATCTGGAAAGCCCTGCGACTCCTGCATCGGGCGTGAGCGATAAATACCTGCCCAGATACACGGAAAGCGACGCTAGATCGTTATTCGGAGCTCACAGCGCCGATATTCTAATAACTAATCAATGGCCAAAGTCGGTTCTCGATGGGTCGAAAGTCTCATTGCGTGACGGTGCCAAGTCTCCAGAAGGATTGCAATGCGTGGCAGACCTTTGTGCGACATTAAAACCTCGATATCACTTTTCGTCCGGCGCTCCCTTTTTTTATGAACGTGAACCGTTCTTCCATCTCCCCACGGAGGAATCTCCCGATGTTAAACATATTACCCGATTCATTAACTTAGCCCCGTTCAGCAAGTCATCGAATCAGAAATGGCTGTATGCCTTCACTCTAGATCCGCAAGCCGCTCCATTAACGTCCATTCCCGCAGGCGCCACGGTGTCGCCGCTCCTGACCTCGAAAAAGCGCCATGCTCTTCCCAGCCAGCCGCAGACCTTCAGTCGTTTCGCCCAGGGCGATGACTACCATAGGCCTAACAAGCGAGTTCGGAGGCCTCCACCCGGCCCCTCAGAATGCTTTTTTTGTTTATCAAATCCGAATATTGCCACCCACCTTATAACCTCCATTGGGTCGGATTGCTACCTTACAACTGCAAAGGGTCCATTACCTACATCCACCACGTTCCCCTCCCTGGGATTTCCAGGCCACATATTAATAATCCCTCTGACTCACTCGCCGACTTTCGACGCAATCACCGAGGTGGATTCACAATCAGCCACCATTAAAGAAATGCAAAGATACCGAGCTTCTCTGCACGAAATGTTGGATGATAGATCGAATGGGGAGCTAGGTGCGGTGACCTGGGAGGTCAGCCGTGCTAATGGGATTCATATCCATTGGCAATTTCTTCCAATGCCATCAGACCTGATATCTCGTGGATTAGTCGAGGCGGCTTTCAAAGTGGAAGCCGAAAACCTCAGTTATCCCAAGTTCGAAAAAAATGATAACGCAACGTTGGGCAAGAGTGATTACTTTCGGGTGATGATCTGGCACCCAGCAAAAAAGGCATCGAATGGTGAAGAGAAGGAGGGAACAGATGGTGAATCAGGCGTGGAAACTAACTTGATCCTTCCGCTATCGCCGGAGTTCAGGTTCGATCTTCAGTTTGGCCGGCGGGTGATGGCAAAACTCCTCGGACTCGAGAAGAGGATGAATTGGAGAGACGATGTGCAATTAGAGAAAGAAGAAATAGCTGACGCGGAGGCCTTTAAGAAGGCGTTTGAAAAGTTTGATTTTTCGCTAAAGGAATATTAAGCCCCGGGGGGCGGCGGGGTACGGTACAGAGGATAATATTTGATCTACAGTACCCATTTTACGTGACTCCTTCCGTCATTCCAGCAACAATTACAATTACGTTTAAAAACCTTTCTAGCTTCTACTCTGGCAATTTGTGTTTTCATTACCGCACTCTAGTCTTCATCGCTTGGCCTGTCGTGTGCAGCGAAGACGAGCGAGACACGAAAGCGAAATTACCCCTTTTAATCCATTAAGATTCAGCGATTCATACCACACACCCCAAATACTTCCTTTACAAACCGTCGTTCCGATTTGGATTAATCTATTCCACTTCCAAGTGCGTCAATCGCAAAGTCAATCGTTCCTTCCTTCCCATGATGCAGACCACTGCTGGCCGATGAAGGCTGCAAGAGCTAGAGTCTTACTACGGTTGCTCTTTCCTTTGAAGTGAACTAAAGGTGGTACCAGTAATGGTGCATCCACAGAGGCTTTTCTCCTATCTGCTCTACCTACACGTTTGGCTCTATCACCTCTAAATCTATCCGAAATCATGAGCCCCTGACTTTTCATCGAGATTATTATACTGCCCCTTTGATTGGGCCAACAAGTTCGCCACCGTTTGGGAGAGGCTACATATCTGGGAACTCCTTGGTGGGTAAGCCTCAGAATGCATTGAATTATATTCACGCGTCCAGATATACCTCATTACTCTGGATAGAATGTCTGGAATTCTCTCCTCTTCCCATATTTCCACTAATGTTATGAATCTTTGCCCCAGCGATGTTAGCCTTCTTCTACAATACGTTTCAGCACGGCATCATAAGTTAGCCTTTAAACAACCACTCACTTTGTCCGCCGCCATTGAATCTATGCTAAAAGCATTCTAAAAATTCGCTCGAGGCTTCTTATAAGTAGCTCTTACTGTCGAACATGGCTCCCTCGGCTCCCTCGGCTCCCTCGGCTCCCTCACCATCGGATTCTTCCCCTTCAGAACCCCCAAAGGTTCCCGACCCTGCCAAACTGTCAGCTACGGGCCGATCCAAACTGAGGCGGAGGATGAGCTTCCTCCAGTATCGCAGGCACAATAACCCCAAAAGCAGCCCCACGTCAGAGAGCCTCAGCGAACAACTCAGATGCACATCGCTCTCCGAAGGCCACTCCAAAAAGAGGGTTAAATCAGAGGGTAACACTGCGTCAACCACGACGACTTCGCCTAACGAAGTAGGCCCTAATAGGGACAAGAACAACAACCATGGGTTTCCGTATCTGCTATTTGAGCCAGTGTTTCGAGCCGGTATTCTGATATTGGTCACTTCCCCTAGCGGGGATGTGTCGTTGGGAATGTGTGATGGGGAAGGGGCGCAAAATGGGCTATCAGAAAAAGGCAGGCCGTTAAAGGAAACAAAAGAGGGGCCATAGTTGGGTATCCAGCACAGCGAATAACTATCGGTGGAAGCGGGCGATTTCCTCCTAATGTCAAGTCCCACCATTCGAACGATGAAATTCTCGAGGATCTACCTTCGCTGGCTACGATTCGTCGAATCCGAAAAACCTGACAATCATAATTTGAATATTATTACATTGTCCTTTTGGCAGTATCAGGTGTATCCGTAGAGAGCGCGGTTCAATTATGTACCAAATGGTATAATTGACCTAGTGGAATGAGAAATGGGTTCGACTCAACAGGGCCCATTGGCAATATATTCAAGAAAAGGAAGGCCATTGCAGACTTCATATACCAAATTCAAAACTGGAGTCATTCAAAATATAACCATCTGTGACACACAGTCTAGAATGTCAATGTCAAAACATCAGAGCAGGCTCCTCTTCACGGCATCCATGTCAGGTCACGTGATCTGGCTTACTCATCCTTCCACCATATAACTTTCCACAAAGCTAGCAACCTTTCAATCACACAAGCTTTACACCTTCCACAGGTTATGAGACCTGTTTTGCGCAAAATCACTGCCAATTCGGGATTCCTTGTCAATATAATCATTATTTGAACTACTGCTTCATTTGATACACTCTTCAGGAGTTAAAATTGTCTTATTCTATCAGTATTGATGTGTTTGAGATCTTGATGATTAATAATACTACTGCTCACTTAAAAAAGAGGCTTGCAGAAAATGTATCAGATTTACACAAAAAAAGCAAGAAAAGAGAACAATATTGGCAAGGATTTAATAAATAAATATCAAGATAATGAATTCAATACAATCTCACTCACATACATGTTCATAATCTCATGTTCTTTTCACTGAGTCAGTTGCAGTTGATGATGATAATTCTTCACACTCATACTCTGTCAGTGAACATTCTTCTGAAGCCTTTGAAAGCTTCATTGTTAAAACACTCTCTCAATTCAAAGCTGGTTTGAATACAGCTTCTGACACAGTCAGGCCGGCTCTCTGATCTACTTAACAGCTTGATAAAGCTGGTTCTCATGAAGTC